TCGGAATAATTGTATCTGGAACTATTATTTTATTTGGAATAATTTATTCCAATATCGGACCGCCTCTGTGGTCTAGTGGTAGAGTGTCCGCCCGGAGAGCGGAAGGTCCAGGGTTCGATGCCCGGCCGCGTCATACCAAAAGATGTTAAAAGATGGAACTTGTTGTTACCCTGTCTGGCGCTCGACATTTAGGGGCTAAAACAAGGACTGGTCGGGCCGGAGTCAGTATACTGTGTCTGAGTGGGGTATTCATGTTAAACTGCGGCATGGTATCTCAGTGTGCTAGCACTATAAATTGGCATCAGTTCAGACTAGTACAAGCAGCCACACAAACACACACGTACATGCACATCGCTATATAAGTGCAATAATCACGACGTTAAACCCCATTTCAATTCAACAACTTTCTTTGTCCCACCAGTTACTTCCCTTGGTATCTTGGTATCTTGAACACTATACATGGTTTACAAAATTTTTTTGGCACATGTTAATAACAGGTTCTGAAACAAATCAAAGCACTCCCTAACTCTGCCATTTTCTATCAAATTACCATGATTACAGAGGGTATGAAATTGTGTTTCTCAGTTAATCTGCCTCTTAGACATGTTAGAAGTATATACAGAAGCTTTATCATGTTTATTGTCATCCCAAACTTATCTTGATTTTGGTAGAAGATTTTGACTTATATTTGTTTCAGCATCATATTGTTCAAGCTTTAAAGAATAATACGATACAGGCAATGGAGTTGATTCGACTTCACCACGGATTTCAAAACTAAAAACAATTGAACAAATTTTCAGGGCACATAGAAGTCAACAACACTTTGTCCATCATTTGTATCCTTTTTTTGTCCTGTACCTTGCTCTTTTGACAGTCTGTGCTCATGGGTGTCACCGAAGTGGTAAACGTCTGAGACCTGCATCACTTCGGGCTTCCCTCCTACATTAAGCTGACAAGCCGCGATATAACTGGAATACTGTTAAGAGCGGCGTTTAACTCACTCACTCACTCAACAATGCAACAATGCAACAATGATCATATTTTCTTCTGTTTCATTTGTGACGAGTCTACACATCAAGATAAACACGTTACAGTAAACTTTCACTTAGAAAATATCTCCAAACATGAAAAGCTATTTCCATTTGTGTAGTTTTCCTTTGCTTACATCAAGTACTGTTATCAAGCCACACGTAGAGGAAGCGATACGGCCAATTTGATGAAAAATATATATTGTCGTGCATCTCACAGTCGCTGCGTTAGTCGCATATTTATATAATTATGCAAAGCAATATGTAAAATGACAGTTCTGATTTCAGCATTTGTTTAAAAATGAGAGAAAAGTCTGGTCAAGTGATAAGCACATAAGATGCTTATTGCGTCAAGTATGGTAGTTAAGTGGGAATGTATAAGTGTGATTTATTGTGACCTTGTAGAATTCATGATAGACTTAATTTATTTTATTTGTTGGTTGTGAGAATCTTGTTTGTTTGAAAATTTGTGAAGTTCTTACTGCTTATCATGCTTAGTTGGTTTTACAACTACCGTATTCGACGTAATAAGCGCCCCGCTCTAATAAGCGCCCACGGCGATATATGCTAATATATTGGCTAGTGAACAATCCCAATCAGCACCCCTTCCGATTGATCAATGTACACAAGACTTATGTATTCGTGTATAATACGCACTTATGTGTTATATGCACCCTTAATTATGGGCAATTCATTTCTGGAAAAATATATCTGTCGTATGTCAACATTTCAGGCTGTCAGCATAAACGAAATTTAGGATCTTTCAGCTCTGTCTTTTCCACCAAAATAATATTCTAATTAGAGCCCCCTATTTCTAATTTTGAGAGCGCCCTGGGCGCTTATTACGTCGAATACGGTAATATACATCATGATATAGTATGATGGATTTTTAAAAAAACTAAATAAATCCTTCTAACATGACTAAAGAAACCCTTGAAAAGATGACCTTCAACATGGTGAAGGATATTTTCTCATCAGAACACCCAAAGCCTTGGACATGTTGGAGGAAGCAAAACAGTTGCTTGATTTAAAAAAAATGTAGAAATCAAGTCATATTAGGAGATGCTGTCAGCACTGCTCAGAAACAGACCAGATACATGGCCGAAACTGAGTAGAAAAAATGGAACTGCATTGAGAGAAAGTATGCTGACTTTTTGAAACAATGTTCGATAGTCACAAGTCAGAAGGCCCTTGGTTTTGAGAATAGAATGTGTTAGTTTCTAAATGGCCAAAAAGCCATGATCCAAAGATGGAGTTGTGTAGTTGTGAAACGAATACTGCATGTGCACCAGTGACTGGTGCTCTTATTTTGAAGCAGGACAAAATGAAAGAGCACTCCTCACATAGAGATCGGAATATAACAGAATTCAAGAAGAAGTCTTCTCTCCTGTGTGGCAAGGTACACGATCTTGAACCTTGTGATGTTTTCATTAAGAAAACCATGAATGACCAAAAGGAGTTTGTGATGCAAAGAGGAAGATGTTTGGGTTGTCTGAACACTACTCATAGCTCCAAGGATTGTCCAGTTAGATAGTCTTGTCAAGTTTGTTCCGGGAAAACAACCTGCTGGGGTGCTTCTGGCAATGACAAAAAGTTGGTGAAGAGACACATGTGAAGTCTGTGAAAGGTGACACAAAATCAGAGCCACAAAAAGTGGGTTAAGAGACACATGTGAAATCTATCAATGGAAAAGTCGCTGTGAGCCGTCTGAAGGACACTACTCATAGCAAAAAGTGTGCAATGATCAGACCAGTGTGGATATCCCACAAGGACAATCCAAATTCTGAGATACTGAGTTATGCATTATGAGACACTCAATTTGATGCAACCTTCATCCTGAAGGACACATGAAAATGAGGCTACAGATAAGGTGATGTCCTATGACGCTATTAGATTTCTGAAGGTTATGGAAGGCGAGATTCATCAAAGCTCAGACAAACATCAAATGCCCCTTCCTCTTCATCACCCTGTTATGGTCAAAATAGGGAATTGCATCAGTATAATTTTTGTCGTTGATGCGTCAAATTTGAAAATGTCCTCTTGATGTCCGCCATAAAACCTTTTGATAGCTTGTATGTTGTTACTCTGTTTAATTATTTTTTTCGGCAATAGTTGTTTGACGCTCTTTCAAATCATGCCTAAATGTGATATCCTCCAAATTTCACATAGATCAAATAGCCTGTCTCTTATCAATGAGAAGTCTATTTTTGGTACCTCGGTTTCGGATTGCGATACAGATACACCTTTATATTAATCAGTTTGTGTGTGTGGGCAGGATTACATTTCAGTTGGCAATATACAGTACTTAGTTATTAGTATGTAGCTGGTTTAATTCTCTTTGCATCATGATAAGTATTTAATCATACACCATCAAATTGTGTATGGACCCAACCCTAGTTGTTATTGGCGATGTTCTTGTGGAAACATCTTCAGGAAATGCAGAAACATGGTAAAGGAACGTGACAACTCTTTTATGTTTTCAATGAACACCATATCATTCGCAACTTAATAATGAAAGTACAAAGTCAACCACACAATCCTGCTCTGTTACTGAAACAAATGTAATCTTGAACAGTGGGAGAGAGTTGCTAGAACCAGGTTATGTCGAGAAAGAACCTGTCACTGACATGCTGGAAACAGGTGATGTCAAGAAATACAAAGGAATCAACCCATTGGGAAGAGATTTACACAGTCAGATAACCTGACGGCACACATGAGGATTCACCTTGGAATCCAGCCTTATCTGTAAGGTGAATGTGGGAAAAGATTTTCAAAATCATAACCTGAAGAGAGACATGAGGGTTCACTGTGGAATCCAGCCTTGTCAGTATGGCGAATGTGGGAAGGTTTTTGCACAATCATCTCACCTGCAGACACACATGACAATGCACAGTGGAATCAAGCCATATCAGTGGATTGAATGTGAGAAATTTGCACAAACATAAACCTGCAGACACATATGAGGATTCACAGTGGAATCAAGCCTTACCAATGTGTTGAATGTGAGAATGAGTCAAGTTGAGTCCTGTGGAGACACATGAGGATTCACAGGAGAATGCTAATTTGAGTGTATTAAAATATAATTTGTGTACTGACTGTATACCTGATAAATTATAATCAAATTGTTATTGTTTAATCCTTTAATCCATGCATTGGCATTTGACACGAGAGATGTGTGTATTCCATCTGCTCTGTGTAACTGACTATATACACAAAAGGTATTATTATTTGAAAAGAATAATCTTCAAGGAGATGGGTAATACAGAGTATGTGCTAATCGATCATCCTGACATTTATCAACAGCTTGTCACTCTGTTATTATTCAACACCTTGATTGTCTGTCTACACATGGGAATAAGTTCTGAGAGTACTTCAATCTATGTCAAATATATTATTCATTTCAATCTATTTATGTACATGAGCATTGATTATGCCACACCCACCTTTTAGGATAAGTGCTACATAAAAGAATAAAAAGAGTAGTAAACTGACAAACAGAATGCACAGAACTAGTTTCTACCACTGCCATCACACAAATAATGAAGCTGATGCTGTCAATGGGATCTGATTTATTGGTGTTTTGATGAAACATTCATCATGTTCATCATGTTCATTTCAACAATGCTGAAAGGTATCGGCACCAAGCCCATACCTTGAATGGGACTGTCACAGAATGCAGAGAAAAACAATTATTGTCCACCTCAGAATCACCACTGACTCTGCAATCAGTATGTGGAGTATCCACTCCTCTTACTGACGACATTCCCGAGGTGTCTCTTCGTGCTGCTGATCAGATGCCAGTATCTTCCGGTTCTGATCTGGAGGGTCTCTGTCTCCAAGTGTTTAATCATGATTCATATCCTATCATCAACTTGTGTATGGTCCAAGGCCTGGTTGTTATTAGTGGCATTCTTATGGAAACATCTTTCATTAATTTGATAGAGGCAAATAAAAACTCCTTTATGTTTTCAGTGAACACCATAACATCCACAAGTTAATAATGGAAGTACAAAGCCAGACAGAGATTCCTGACTCTTTTACTGAAACAAACATTGATAGAGAATTGCTGGAAACAGGTGATCTTAAGAAACCTAGTAGAATCCAGCCTTATCAGTGTGTTGAATGTGGGAAGGAATTTACAACGTCAAGTCACCTGCAGAGACATCAGAAGATTCATGGTGGAATGAAGCCTTATCAGTGTGGTGAATGTGGGAAAAGATTTACACAGTCAGATAACCTGAAGAGACACATGAGGGTTCACAGTGGAATCAAACCTTATCAGTGTACTGAATGCGGGAAAGAATTTGCACATTCATGTAACCTGCAGACACACATGATGAGTCACAGTGGAATCAAGCCTTATCAGTGTGCTGAATGTCAGAAAGAATTTACACAATCGGATCAACTGCAGATACACATGAGGATTCACAGTGGAATCAAACCTTATGAGTGTGTTGAATGTGGGAAAGCATTTGCAGCATCAGGAAAGCTGCAGAGACATATGAGGTCTCACACTGGAATCAAGCCTCATCACTGCCTTGTGTGTAATAAAACATTCACACAGTCAAGTAGCCTACAGATACACATGCGGATTCACAGTGGAATCCAGCCTTATGAATGTGTTGAATGTGGGAACAAATTTACATACTCAGCTAATCTGCAAAGGCACATGAGGATTCACACTGGAGTCAAGCCTTATCAGTGTGGTGAATGTGGGAAAAGATTTACACACTCTCAAAGCCTCGAGAAACACATGAGGGTTCACACTGGAATCAAGCCTTATCAGTGTGTTGAATGTGGTAAAGAATTTACTGAGTCAGGTGCCCTTCAGAAACACATGAGGGTTCACACTGGAATCAAGCCTTACGAGTGTGTCGAATGTGGAAAAGCATTTGCACAATCATGTAACCTGCAGACACACATGACAATTCACAATGGAATCAAGCCTTGTAAGTGTGTTGAATGTGGGAAAGAATTTACACAATCACGTTACCTGCAGAGACACATGATGAGACACAGTGGAATCAAGGCTTATCAGTGTGTTGAATGTGGGAAAAGATTTACACAGTCAAGTGCCCTGCAGAGACACATGGGAATTCACAGTGGAATCAAGCCTTTTCTATGTGATGAATGTGGGAAAGGATTTACACAGTCACGTTACCTGCAGAGACACATGAAGATTCACAGTGGAAAGAAGCCTCACCAGTGTGATTAATGTGGGAAAGGATTTACACAGTCAGGTGCCATGCAGAGACACATGAAGATTCACAGTGGTATCAATTGACTGGATCGAGCAGACTGAAATATCATTAGTGTAATGAGTGTTTACATACTGAATAATAACAATCATTACCTGGAGAAGATTGTACTCCATCTGTTCTATGTACCGGTACATGATATAACTGCATATATTAGAGACTCCCTATGTTTAACGTTTAAAAAAACTTTTCTTCAACATTGTTCAAGCATCTTCCCGAGGCAATTGAGTTAACTGACTGTAAAAGTCCAGTTTCCATTCTTGTTGAACAAGGCTGAAAATCCTGGGCTCGATCATAGCGCTAGCAGTGATGAATACAAGTTTTGTCCCTTCTATGCCCCTCCTATCGACCAATCAGATTTCACCTCTACTATCACTTGTATTTGCCTCAAACAAAGACGATCTGATCAATGATCATGATCTGTGATGTACTAAGACCTGTCTTACCTCACGAAGTGCATCAAATCATGTGAGGTCTTTGAATGAACACATGAAAAGGTTTCGAAAATCTCTGTCGATGCCCAGTTGACTGTAAAAATCATATGCAAATCCTGCAGTCAACTGAAATTTGTACGTTGAAATCCATGTTGTTTACGAAATGTATGTCAATGTCGTTACATGATTTTGATTGGACTAAGCATAGACTCGTTAGTCCAGCCAAAATATAACTCCATAATCCCAGCCCAATTTCGGCAATTGTGGAAACTGGACTTTTACAGTCTGTTAACATGGTTAACTTTGTTGCCTTGGGAAGATGATTTTCAAGGAAATGGGCAATATGTAGTGTGGGCTAATCCATCATCAAGGCATTTTAGAACAGCTTGTTACTCTATTATCATGACTATACAACATCTTTGATCATCTACACATGGCTAAAGTTGTGAAAGTACATCTGTCTATGTTTAATATGTTATTCATTTTGATAGATATGCACATGAGCATTAATTAGGCACAAACTACTTTTTCTAATATGTGCTCCATCTAAAAATGACTGGTGTGGTTCATTGATTGAGACACAACAAACATGACAAAAGTGTCTGTAAACCAAGAAACATAATGCCTCGCACTATCCTCACACAGATGAAACTTGCAATCAGTACTGACTATTGGTATTACGTGAAGAATTGTAAAACCATTCATTTCAACAAAGCTGAAAAGTATCAGCACCCAGCCCGCGCCATGAATTGGACAGTCACATTAGGAACAGAAAAACTGCCAACCACACTGACCGCAATCCGTGCCTGGGGTTTCCACCCCAGGTGATGTCCTATGACCACGATGACGTATTAGATTTCTGAAGGTTATGGAAGGCGAGATTCATCAAAGCTCAAACAAACATCAAATGCCCCTTCCTCTTCATCACCCTGTTATGGTCAAAATAGGGAATTGCATCAGTATAATTTTTGTCGTTGATGCGTCAAATTAGGAAATGTCCTCGATGTCCGCCATTAAACCTTTTGATAGCTTTGTATGTTGTAACTCTGATTAATTTTTTTTTCGGCAATAGTTGTTTGACGCTCTTTCAAATCATGCCTAAATGTGATATCCTCCAAATTTCACATAGATCATGTAGATCAAATAGCCTGTCTCTCAACAATGAGAAGTCCATTTTTGGTACCTCGGTTTCGGATTGCGATACAGATACACCTTTATATTAATCAGTTTGTGTGTGTGGGCAGGATTACATTTCAGTTGGCAATATACAGTACTTAGTTATTAGTATGTAACCCACAGCACACAAGTGTCATGTCGTATATCAGTGTAAAGGTATATGTTCCATCACCAGCTGGTTTAATTCTCTTTGCATCATGATAAGTATTTAATCATACACCATCAAATTGTGTATGGACCCAACCCTAGTTGTTATTGGCGATGTTCTTGTGGAAACATCTTCAGGAAATGCAGAAACATGGTAAAGGAATGTGACAACTCTTTTATGTTTTCAATGAACACCATATCATTCGCAACTTAATAATGAAAGTACAAAGTCAACCACACAATCCTGCTCTGTTACTGAAACAAATGTAATCTTGAACAGTGGGAGAGAGTTGCTAGAGCCAGGTTATGTCGAGAAAGAACCTGTCACTGACATGCTGGAAACAGGTGACGTCAAGAAATACAAAGGAATCAACCCATTGGGAAGAGATTTACACAGTCAGATAACCTGACGGCACACATGAGGATTCACCTTGGAATCCAGCCTTATCAGTGTGGTGAATTTGGGAAAAGATTTACAGAGTCAGATAACCTGATGGCATACATGAGGATTCACCTTTGAATCCAACCATATCAGTGTGGTGAATGTGGGAAAAGATTTACACAGTCAGATAACCCTAAGATAGATAAGAGGGTTCACTGTGGAAGCAAGCCATATAAGTGTGTTGAATGTGGGAAAGTTTTTGCACAATCATCTCACCTGCAGACACATATGACAATGCACAGTGGAATCAAGCCATATCAGTGGATTGAATGTGAGAAAGCATTTGCACAATCATTAACCTGCAGACACAAATGAGGAGTCAGTGGAATTCAGCCCTATCAATGTGTTGAATGTGAGAATGAATTTACAGAGTCAAGTTCCCAGTGGAGACACATGAGGATTCACAGTGGAATGCTAATTTGAGTGTATTAAAATATAATTTGTGTAATGACTATACCTGTATACCTGATAAATAATAATCAAATTGTTATTGTGTAATCCTTTAATCCAATCAATCAGTATGTGGAGTATCCAATCCTCTTACTGACGACATTCGCGAGGTGTCTCTTCGTGCTGCTGATGAGATGCCAGTATCTTCCGGTTCTGATGATTCATATCCTATCATCAACTTGTGTATGGTCCAAGGCCTGGTTGTTATTAGTGGCATTCTTATGGAAACATCTTTAGGAAATGCATTAATTTGATAGAGGCAAATAAAAACTCCTTTATGTTTTCAGTGAACACCATAACATCCACAAGTTAATAATGGAAGTACAAAGCCAGACAGAGATTCCTGACTCTTTTACTGAAACAAACATTGATAGAGAATTGCTGGAAACAGGTGATCTTAAGAAACCTAGTAGAATCCAGCCTTATCAGTGTGTTGAATGTGGGAAGGAATTTACAACGTCAAGTCACCTGCAGAGACATCAGAAGATTCATGGTGGAATCGAACCTTATCAGTGTGGTGAATGTGGGAAAAGATTTACACAGTCAGATAACCTGAAGAGACACATGATGAGTCACAGTGGAATCCAGCCTTATCAGTGTGCTGAATGTGACAAAGAATTTACACAATCGGATCAACTGCAGACACACATGATGATTCACAGTGGAATCAAGCCTCATCAGTGCCTTGTGTGTAATAAAACATTCACACAGTCAAGTAGCCTACAGACACACATGCGGATTCACAGTGGAATCCAGCCTTATGAATGTGTTGAATGTGGGAACAAATTTACATACTCAGCTAGTCTGCAGAGGCACATGAGGACTCATACTGGAATCAAGCCTTATCAGTGTGTTGAATGTGGTAAAGAATTTACTGAGTCAGGTGCCCTTCAGAAACACATGAGGGTTCACACTGGAGTCAAGCCTTATCAGTGTGGTGAATGTGGGAAAAGATTTACACACTCTCAAAGCCTCGAGAAACACATGAGGGTTCACACTGGAATCAAGCCTTATCAGTGTGTTGAATGTGGTAAAGAATTTACTGAGTCAGGTGCCCTTCAGAAACACATGAGGGTTCACACTGGTATCAAGCCTTATGAGTGTGTCGAATGTGGGAAAGCATTTGCACAATCATGGAACCTGCAGACACACATGACAATTCACAATGGAATCAAGCCTTGTAAGTGTGTTGAATGTGGGAAAGAATTTACACAATCACGTTACCTGCAGAGACACGTGATGACACACAGTGGAATCAAGGCTTATCAGTGTGTTGAATGTGGGAAAAGATTTACACAGTCAAATGCCCTGCAGAGACACATGGCAAGTCACAGTGGAATCAAGCCTTTTCTATGTGATGAATGTGGGAAAGGATTTACACAGTCACGTTACCTGCAGAGACACATGAAGATTCACAGTGGAAAGAAGCCTCACCAGTGTGATTAATGTGGGAAAGGATTTACACAGTCAGGTGCCATGCAGAGACACATGAGGATTCACAGTGGTATCAACTGACTGGATCGAGTGGACTGAAGTCATTAATGTAATGAGTGTATACATACTGAATAATAACAATCAATACCTGGAGATGATTGTACTCCATCTGTTCTATGTACATGATGTAACTGCATATATCAGAGACTCCCTATGTTTAACCTTTAAATAACTTATCTTCAACATGTTCAAGCATCTTCCCGAGGCAATGGAGTTAACTGACTGTAAAAGTCCAGTTTCCACTCTTGTCGAACAAGGCTGAAATTCCTGGGCTCGATCATAGCGCTAGCAGTGGTGAATACAAGTTTTGTCCCTTCTATGCCCCTCCTATCGACCAATGAGATTTCACCTCTAATATCACTTGTATTTGCCTCAAACAAAGACGATCTGATCAATGATCATGATCTGTGATGTACCAAGACTGGTCTTACCTCACGAAGTGCATCAAATCATGTGAGATCTTTGAATGAACACATGAAAAGGTTTTGAAAATCTCTGTTGATGCCCAGTTGACTGTAAAAATCATATGCAAATCCTACAGTCAACTAAAATTTGCACGTTGAAATCCATGTTGTTTATGAACTGTATGTTGATGTTGTTACACGATTTTGATTGGACTATGCATAGACTCGTTAGTCCAGCCGAAATATAACTCCATAATCCCAGCCCAATTCGGCATTTGTGGAACTGGACTTTTACAGTCTGCTAACTCTGTTGCCTTGGGAAGATGATTTTCAAGGAGATGGGCAATATGTAGTCTGGGCTAATCCATCATCGAGGCATTTTAGAACAGCTTGTTTTTCTATTTTTCATGATTATACAACATCTTTGATCGTCTACACATGGCAAAAGTTGTGAGTGTACACCTGTCTATGTTCAATATGTTATTCATTTTGGGGGGCATGGGTGGCCCAGTTGTCTAAGGCACCGCTATCCGCTGTGCAGAGTTGCGTCCCTTGGGCAGCCAGAAACCTATGATTGTGGGTTTGCCCCGATTATGTTTGTAGGTTTGTCAGCACCGTACCTGTGCTCGTGGGTTTCACCGAAGTGGTAAACGTCTAAGACCTGCATCACTTCGGGCTTTCCTCCCACATTAAGCTGACACACCGTGATATAACTGGAATACTGTTAAAAGCGGCGCTAAACCCAACTCACTCACTCACTTATTCATTTTGATAGATATGTACATGAGCATTAATCATGTTAATTAGGCACGAACTACTTTTTCTAATATGTGCTCCATTTAAAAATGACTGGTGTGGTTCATTGATTGAGTCACAACAAAAGTGTCTGTAAACCAAGAAACATAATGCCTTGCACTATCCTCACACAGATGAAACTTGCAATCAGCATGATCAGTACTGACTATTGGCATTATGTGAAGAATTGTAAAACCATTCATTTCAACAAAGCTGAAAAGTATCGGCACCCAGCCCACACCATGAATCGGACTGTCACATTAGAAACAGAAAAACGATTACTGCCAACCTCTGAATCCACACCGACCGCAATCAGTGTCTGGGGTTTCCACCCCAGGTGATGTCCTATGACCATGATGAGGTATTAGATTTCATCACCCTGTTATAGTCAAAATAAGGAATTGCATCAGTATAATTTGTGTTGTTGATCACTTGATGCGTCAAATTTGGAAATGTCCTCTTGATGTCCGCCATTAAACCTTTTGATAGCTTTGTATGTTGTGACTCTGATTAAATTTTTTAATCAGTTTGTTAATAGTTGTTTGACGCTCTTTCAAATCATGCCTAAATGTGATATCCTCCAAATTTCACATAGATCAAATAGCCTGTCTCTTATCAATGAGAAGTCCATTTTTGGTACCTCGGTTTCAGATCGCGATACAGATACACTTTTTATATTAATCAGTTTGTGTGTGTGGGCAGGGTCACACTCATTTGGCAATATACAGTACTTAGTTATAAGTATGTAACCAGCACACAAGTGTCATGTCGTATGTCAGTGTAAAGGTATATGTTCCATCACCAGCTGGTTTAATTCTCTTTGCATCATGATAAGTATTTAATCATACACCATCAAACTGTGTATGAACCAAACCCTAGTTGTTATTGGCGGTGTTCTTGTGGAAACATCTTCAGGAAAAGCAGAAACATGGTAAAGGAACGTGACAACTCTTTATGTTTTCAATGAACACCATAACATTCGCAACTTAATAATGGAAGTACAAAGTCAACCACACAATCCTGCTCTGTTACTGAAACAAATGTAATCTAGAACAGTGGGAGAGAGTTGCTAGAACCAGGTTATGTCAAGAAAGAACCTGTCACTGACATGCTGGAAACAGGTGACATCAAGAAATACAAAGGAATCAATCCATTGGGAAGGGATTTACACAGTCAGATAACCTGACGGCACACATGAGGATTCACCTTGGAATCCAGCCTTAACAGTGTGGTGAATTTGGGAAAAGATTTACAGAGTCAGATAACCTGATGGCATACATGAGGATTCACCTTGGAATCCAGCCTTAACAGTGGGGCGAATTTGGGAAAGGATTTACACAGTCAGATAACCTGACGGCATACATGAGGATTCACCTTGGAATCCAGCCTTAACAGTGGGGCGAATTTGGGAAAGGATTTACACAGTCAGATAACCTGACGGCATACATGCGGATTCACCTTGGAATCCAGCCTTAACAGTGGGGCGAATTTGGGAAAGGATTTACACAGTCAGATAACCTGATGGCATACATGAGGATTCACCTTGGAATCCAGCCTTAACAGTGGGGCGAATTTGGGAAAGGATTTACACAGTCAGATAACCTGATGGCATACATGAGGATTCACCTTGGAATCCAGCCTTAACAGTGGGGTGAATTTGGGAAAGGATTTACACAGTCAGATAACCTGACGGCATACATGAGGATTCACCTTGGAATCCAGCCTTAACAGTGGGGCGAATTTGGGAAAGGATTTACACAGTCAGATAACCTGACGGCATACATGAGGATTCACCTTGGAATCCAGCCTTAACAGTGGGGCGAATTTGGGAAAGGATTTACACAGTCAGATAACCTGACGGCATACATGAGGATTCACCTTGGAATCCAGCCTTAACAGTGGGGCGAATTTGGGAAAGGATTTACACAGTCAGATAACCTGACGGCATACATGAGGATTCACCTTGGAATCCAGCCTTAACAGTGGGGCAAATTTGGGAAAGGATTTACACAGTCAGATAACCTGACGGCATACATGAGGATTCACCTTGGAATCCAGCCTTATCAGTGTGTTGAATGAGGGAAAAGATTTACACTGTCAGATAACCCTAAGATAGATAAGAGGGTTCACTGTGGAATCAAGCCATATAAGTGTGTTGAATGTTGTAAAGTTTTTGCACAATCATCTCACCTGCAGACACATATGGCAATGCACAGTGGAATCAAGCCATATCAGTGCATTGAATGTGAGAAAGCATTGGACAATCATAAACCTGCAGACACAAATGAGGAGTCACAGTGGAATTGAGCCCTATCAATGTGTTGAATGTGAGAATGAATTTACAGAGTCAATTTCCCCGTGGAGACACATGAGGATTCATATCGGAATGCTAATTTGAGTGTATTAAGATATAATTTGTGTAATGACTATACCTGTATACCTGATAAATAATAATCAAATTGTTATTGTGTAATCCTTTAATCCATGCATTGGCATTTGACACGAGAGATGTGTGTATTCCATCTGTTCTATGTAACTAAATATATCCACAGAAGGTATTATTATTTGAAAAGAATTATTTTCATGGAGATGGTTAATACCGAGTGTGTGCCAATCAATCATCCTCACATTTTTCAGCAGCTTGTCACTCTGTTATTATTCAACATCTTTGATTGTCTGTCTGCACATGGGAATAAGTTGTGAGAGTTATCTATGTCAAATATATTATTCATTTCAATCCATTTATGTACATGAGCATTGATTATGCCACACCCACCTTTTAGGATATGTGCTACATAAAAGAATAAAAAGAGTAGTAAACTGACAAACAGAATGCACTTAACTAGTTTCTACTGCTACCCTCACACAAATAATGAAGCTGATGCTATCAATGGGATCTGATTTATTGGTGTTATGCGATGAAACATACATCATGTTCATCATGTTCATTTCAACAATGCTGAAAGGTATCGGCACCAAGCCCATACCTTGAATGGGACTGTCACAGAATGCTGAGAAAAACAATTATTGTCCACCTCAGAGTCACCACTGACTCTGCAATCAGTATGTGGAGTATCCACTCCTCTTACTGACGACATTCGCGAGGTGTCTCTTCGTGCTGCTGATCAGATGCCAGTATCTTCAGGTTCTGATCTGGAGGGTCTCAATCTTCAAGTGTTTAATCATGATTCATTTCCTATCATCAACTTGTGTATGGTCCAAGCCTTGGTTGTTATTAGTGGCATTCTTATGGAAACATCTGTAGGAAATGCATTAATTTGATAGAGGCAAATAAAAACCCCTTTATGTTTTCAGTGAACACCATAACATCCACAAGTTAATAATGGAAGTACAAAGCCAGACAGAGATTCCTGACTCTTTTACTGAAACAAACATTGATAGAGAATTGCTGGAAACAGGTGATCTTAAGAAACCTAGTAGAATCCAGCCTTATCAGTGTGTTGAATGTGGGAAGGAATTTACAACGTCAAGTCACCTGCAGAGACATCAGAAGATTCATGGTGGAATCGAACCTTATCAGTGTGGTGAATGTGGGAAAAGATTTACACAGTCAGATAACCTGAAGAGACACATGATGAGTCACAGTGGAATCCAGCCTTATCAGTGTGCTGAATGTGACAAAGAATTTACACAATCGGATCAACTGCAGACACACATGATGAGTCACAGAGGAATCAAGCCTCATCAGTGCCTTGTGTGTAATAAAACATTCACACGGTCAAGTAGCCTACAGACACACATGCGGATTCACAGTGGAATTCAGCCTTATGAATGTGTTGAATGTGGGAACAAATTTACATACTCAGCTAGTCTGCAAAGGCACATGAGGACTCACACTGGAATCAAGCCTTATCAGTGTGTTGAATGTGGTAAAGAATTCACTGAGTCAGGTGCCCTTCAGAAACACATGAGGGTTCACACTGGAGTCAAGCCTTATCAGTGTGGTGAATGTGGGAAAAGATTTACACACTCTCAAAGCCTCGAGAAACACATGAGGGTTCACACTGGAATCAAGCCTTATCAGTGTGTTGAATGTGGTAAAGAATTTACTGAGTCAGGTGCCCTTCAGAAACACATGAGGGTTCACACTGGTATCAAGCCTTATGAGTGTGTCGAATGTGGGAAAGCATTTGCACAATCATGTAACCTGCAGACACACATGACGATTCACATTGGAATCAAGCCTTGTAAGTGTGTTGAATGTGGCAAGGAATTTACACAATCACGTTACCTGCAGAGACACGTGATGACACACAGTGGAATCAAGGCTTATCAGTGTGTTGAATGTGGGAAAAGATTTACACAGTCAAGTGCCCTGCAGAGACACATGGGAAGTCACAGTGGAATCAAGCCTTTTCTATGTGATGAATGTGGGAAAGGATTTACACAGTCACGTTACCTGCAGAGACACATGAAGATTCACAGAGGAAAGAAGCCTCACCAGTGTGATTAGTGTGGGAAAGGATTTACACAGTCAGTTGCCATGCAGAGACACATGAGGAATCACAGTGGTATCAACTGACTGGATCGAGCGGACAAATCATGTGAGCTCTTTGAATGAACACATGAAAAGGTTTTGAAAATCTCTGTCGATGCCCAGTTGACTGTAAAAATCATGTGCAAATCCTACAGTCAACTGAAATTTGCACGTTGAAATCCATGTTGTTTATGAACTGTATGTTGATGTCGTTTCACGATTGTGATTGGACTATGTATAGACTTGTTAGTCCAGCCAAAATATAACTCCACAATACCAGCCCAATTCGGCAATTGTGGAAACTGGATTTTTACAGTCAGTTAACTCTGTTGCCTTGATCTTCAAGGAGATGGGCAATATGAAGTGTATGCTAATCCATCATCAAGGCATTTCAGAACAGGTTGTTACTCTATTTTCAGAATTATACAACATCTTTGATCGTCTACACATGGCAAAAGTTGTGAAAGTACACCTGTCTATTTTCAATATGTTATTCATTTTGGGGGGCACGGGTGGCCCAGTCGTCTAAGGCGCCGCTATCCGCTGTGCAGAGTTGCGTCCCTTGGGCAGCCAGAAACCTATAATTGTGGGTTCGAATCCCGGTTCACCCCGATTATGTTTGTAGGTTTGTCAGCACCATACCCATGCTCCTGGGTTTCACCGAAGTGGTAAACGTCTAAGTCCTGCATCACTTCAGGCTTTCCTCCCACATTAAGCTGACACACCGTGATATAACTGGAATACTGTTAAAAGCGGCGCTAAACCCAACTCACTCACTCACTTATTCATTTTGATATATATGCACATGAGCATTTATTAGGCACGAATCACTTTTTCTAATATGTGCTCCATCTAAAAATGACTGGTGTGTGGTTCATTGATTGAGACACAAAAAAAGTGTCTGTAAACTAAGAAACATAATGCCTCGCACTATCCTCACACAGATGAAACTTGCAATCAGTACTGACTTTGGCATTAGGTGAAGAATTGTAAAACCATTCATTTCAACAAAGCTGAAAAGTATCGGCACCCAGCCCACACCATGAATCGGACTGTCACATTATGAACAGAAAAACGATTACTGCCAACCTCTGAATCCACACTGACTGTAATCAGTGTCTAGGGTTTCCACCCCTCTCACTGATGACATTGACGAGGCATCTCATGCTCATGATGCTTCTGACCAGATTTTCAACATTGAGATCCTCTGTCATTCCTAGTGCAGTATTCAGTGTAGTATTCAGGCTCTGAACTGGAGGGTCTCCAGCTCTCTCGCTTGGCAGCCAAGGTAATCCAACAGTGTTCTGTGGGGTCCAGATCAGAGTTTATCGTTACTTTTCGGAATTGGATTTTGTATGTTGAATCGTGAATGATTAATGCTCATGTGTATATGTAAAGGTGGTGCTTAATTAATGCTCATGTGTGTGTATATGCATATGTGAAACAGGGCCATTTTCCCCAATCATAAGGGGCTATTTTCAGCAATCATTTGAGCCACAAACCTTTAACTTGCTCTCACGAGAAACATTTACTAATATCACTGAATATCGGACCAAAGTTTCCGTTTTGGTGAATCTATTTCCATACTGACATTTGCCTATTTCATTGTCAAGTCAACAGATTCAGATTCCCCATTTGCCAATTGTTATGTGGCAGTGTATGTTATCATGGTCATTGTTGAACAGAACAGAACTTTATTTACAATGATTTACGCTCAGGCTGGGATCCTTGGCATATGAGGTACAAATTTGCAACAGACTATACATAAGATGGCGGGGTGGTTTACATGGACGATTTTACAGTTTTTATAAGGACATTACAGAATGTACAGAGTTTCTTAAAAACATTTATTTTTTTACAATTAAAACATTCTTTAAATTTAAACATATTTGGGTTTTTAGCATATGGAATAGGAACATATATTTTCAGTTGGGATTTAAAAAAAGGACAAACAAAAATATAATGGAATTCATCACCAATGTCGCTCATGTCACAGAGTTTACACATTCGTTCATTGACAGGGATTTTGGCCACCTTTCTAGTTCAATAGGTAAATAGTGGCATGAGGTTCTAAACAAGGAATTTTAGAGGCAACGAGAAAGGAATAACTAATAAATACTATTCAAGGACGAGTTCAGTTTTAGATATGCAATATGTAATACTTTTAGAAGAATGTGTAATCTCTGCATTTCATGTTTGAGTTGCTATATGAGATAATCTTAACGACATGATAGATTTAAGGACATCAGAAGGAACTGCTTGTTGGCTTAACCAATAGAAACTATAGTGAAGGTAAGTGGGTGGGGAATTCCAGGATTAGATCTTATCATTCATGCCCTGAGGCAGGGTTAGAAACTAACAGTTTTCGTCCACTAGTCGAATGATAACATATAGCAAAACCCTTAAAAATGGCAATTTTTTACTAGTCCTTATGATACCTTTACCATTGGGCAGTTTGGCAAGGACTATAGGACTAGCGCCAATTTCTAACGCTGTCAGAGGGTGGATGGTTTTCAGATCAAATATCCATTTGAGTTCAATGGATCGGCGTCTCAGGGTCTGTTTTAAGCTGTTGTATGATTTGATAGTGTAGGTCTCTGGTTGAGTGTCCTACGGAGTTCTTGGTGGTTTGTATCCGCAAAGTGTTCTTTGAGTCTGGTGTAGAAGTGTCGTTTGGTTTTTTGCCTACGTATTGTTTACCACATTTAGTGCAACTTAGCAGGTAGATTATGTTTCTGCTTTTGCAAGTGAAATGTGAATGGCATTTATATTTTTTGCCTGTTGTGTGGCTGTTGAAGGTGTTGACCGACTTCATATTTATGCCATGATTGTTTGTGACAGCTGTCATCTTAGTTGGGCACAGTGCGGCCACTAATTTTTATGGTTTTGGTGGTGGATATGTGATTGCCGCTCTCATGAGGATATCTCTGAGTGTGCGGTTCTTCCTATATGCAGTGATGTGTGGGACTCGGAAGGTGTCTTTGCAGGTGTCTGAACCTTGAAGTAGGTGCCAGGACTTATTGATCATTGAGCTAACTTTGAGTGCAGTGGGGTTGTAATCTGTGATAAAGATCACTGGTTTTCCCTCTGTAACAACAGCATTAGATCTCGCAGCTTCCTTCTTTACACAAACCAGATTCTGATACACCAGTCGGAACATGACGTCACAACTACCACAAAAGTTGTGATGTCACAGGTCTAATAACTGTGACATCCATCACTATCACGTCACAATCAGCACTCACAAACTATGGAGTCCCTCCACTGCCCACACTGCCTGAAGTACTACTCACACCGGGACGGGCTCAAAAGACACTCAAGGAGCGCCCATAGCTCCGAAAGGTTCATCTGCTTGTCAAGTCCTACAAACGGCAGGATGATTTTAAAAATCACCAAAATCGCCACGGACAACATAATGCCAACAAAGCAGCTACCATCAACACCACCGCTACAATGAGCGTGACTGACGGCCCACCAGGGCCGGAAATCCCAGCCCGCACAATGCTACCATCGACTCAGCACATGGCCCGTCCACAATTGCGACACACCATCTACGACCCGATGTGGACACACCACCAAAATCGCCGCCATACAGTCCGGCGTCTATACTCCCTCCACCATTTACCAAATGGACGGAGTATCTAGATGACCCTAATGTCAACTTGGATACCGAATTTTGGTCTTCATACAGGCCACAAAACAGAGAAGATATGGCAAAGCCACCATTCTCAAAGCGTAGACCCAATGTGCCAACAATTAGGCCAAATGGGCCCATAAATAAATAAAGTTTGGGTCCCAAATATAAAAGGGTTTGTTCTGTTTCAGGTCTATTGACCTAAGGTAGACTCCGGAATATAAACTGGGACCACATCCAGTCCCGGGTATTATACACAAAAAAGCATCATATGCATTTGGCCGACAACGACAACTGTGATATTAAAATACAACACACAACAATAAATCTCGAAAACCTAGAATTTATTGAAGCGATCGTAAAATCATGACCATCGGTAATCCATCGATGCTCATGTCGCCGCTACCCCAGCCCCGCCACCGGCCCACCGGTCCACTGGTCCACCGACTCATCGACTCATCGGTGCTCCGGCCCTGAGTACATTACTCACGATCCACCGGTGACAATTAGACCACCGGTCCACCGGCACACCCCTGTCGGTAGACTCCACCGGTACTGCATCTGGAACACAAAGTGTATAAAAGGAGTCCCCACACCCACACACAACAGTCTAATGAGAGCACCCCGCTCGAAACTAGTCACTTAGATTGCTCTTGGGTTTTAGCCCCAAACTCTCTATTATCAATAGAAACTATAGCCCGTTTCATTGAAAATACTTTCCAAACATTTTATCCATTTATTACAGCCTTTGTTTGTACAGACTTCATTGTATAACGTTTGATATAGAATTCTTGATAACTTTTGTTCTTTGCCAGCTAAGACCTTAGCCCCAAAACATACCATTCGACATTTGATGGAATTAATTAAAGGTACCCTTCCAAGTTCTCCATACAACATGTGTAAAGGTGTACTTTTCTTAATGGAAAGCAATTTACGTAAAAAGTTACGGTGAACAGATTCAATTTGCTTACAATTTTAAAACCCCCGGATTTCACAACCATACAATAGAACTGGTTTTACCATAGCATCGAAGTGATATAATTGAAATTTTATGGATAGATTAAATTTTTTACTTTTACATAATACAAAGTACATGGCCTAAGTGGCAGATTCATAATTTGCTTTTATAGAAGTTTTGAAAAAGTTTTTATTTGTAAAGTGAATTCCAAGATATATAACTCAGTAACAAAAGTTCCTGTGACACCAAAATTTTAGTTTATTTTCAAACAAGTAAAGACCACTTCCGTGGTCTAGTGGTAGAGCGCCTGCCCCGAGAGCGGAAGGTCCGGGGTTCAGTCCCCAGCCGCGTCATACCAAAAGACGTTAAAAGATGGTACTTGTTGTTACCCTGTCTGGCGCTCGGCATTAACGGGCTAAAACAAGGACTGGTCGGCTCGGAGTCAGTATACTGTGTCTGAGTTGGGTATTCATGTTAAACTGCGGCATGGTATCTCAGTGAGCTAGCACTATAAATCGGCATCAGTCCGGACTAGTACAAGCAGCCACACAAACACACACACACGTACATGCACATCGCTATATAAGTGCAATAATCTTGGACGCGACGTTAAACCCAATTTCATCTCACCTCAAACAAGTAAAGTTTGGTTTTCAATGTTGTAGTACATGTATGGAATCAAGTCACAAAAACGCAACAGAAAAGCATGCATTCCATGCAAAAGTTGACTTTTATGCAAGCCCCATGCATTTCACTACCCAAGAATGGTTATAAAAACATGTCCGTAAAAGGGATTCCATATGCATTGTTTAGCATCGTGCTGACAACAACCACTCAGAAAAACAACAAAATTACGCAATTATTCAGCATTACGAAATGCCACGCCTGTCCGAAAATGAGCATCTGCGAGCCATTGGTTTGCTTGAAGCAGGATCGAGTCAACGTGATGTTGCAAGACAATTTAACGTCCATAGAAACACCATTTGGTGTGTATGGCAACGTTAGCAAAAGACGAATGCAGTCAGAGACCATCCTCGGAGTGGCAGGCCACGCGTAACTAATAATCGATAAGACAACTGGATTCGAACAACACACCTACGAAATCGATTCCAGCTAGCAACAGTGACTGCAAGAAGCATCCCTGGCCTTCGACGAATATCTTCACAAACCGTACGTCGTCGACTCAGATGTGCAGGGATTGTCGCCAGAAGACCCGTCAGACGTCCCATTTTGACAGGAAATTTTCAGTTCTGTGTCCTACATGACAGACAAACTTTAGGACAAACTTAAGGAAAAACTTCATTCCTTGATCCATGGAGCTTTTGTTACAAAACGTGACCATAGATACAGTTACCTATCTATCCTCAGAGGTTCAGAGGAATTTGTCAAAAATGAAAGCAATTGTCATTGAAAGTTTACTGAGAAAACAGTAAATGAAATGCTGGACTTCCTAATTGGTAATTACATCTTTGTAAAATTTTGGGGAAAGACATTTTAGCAAGAAGTAGACATCCCCAGAAGTTCAACTTAACATGGATATGGTCGGAATCGTACAGTCGACTCTGCTTTTGGCAGAGATTTCTTATGAATGCAGAAAAGATTTTGTAAATGCCTGAAATTCCAAAGTTAGATCTTATGCAAATTAGCTGAAGCAACATGATCTGAGCAGGTAACTATACTTTGTATCTCTGCTTTAACTGATGTCAGGAAATACCGAACATTTCAAACAGAAAATTGAATCAAATGAAGTTCCAAAGTGCAAGCTAGCTACGTAGAGACTTTAGGCCCTATTTGTTTTCCTTTAGTCATATCACGGACCTATATAACAATATATAACCTATATAACAATAGTCTGTGGTCATATTGAATTGACCCTTGATTGATTATGGAGTAGTGTGAGTGAGTATAGGTTTATGCTATTTTTAGCAATATTCCAGCAATATCAATGTAGGGAACACCAGAAATGGGCTTCACACATGTACCCATGATGGAATCGAACCGGGGCCTTTGGCGTAACGATGACATGATTTAACCACAAGGCTGCCCACCTGCCCAAATCTTGATGTTGACTTGGACACAAAATGTCACCTGGCTTATTTAGTGTCATTGTTCCAAACGGTGAGAATTGTTAAACGCCCAGTAAAAAAACTAGAACAAATATCTCTTTTGATCTTGTGGTAAGATAAGGTGTCTCATTAGTTCTGATATTTGGCATCTGGATTATATTGATATGAAAAGTAATACAATTTACATTTGTTTTATTATTATGCTATGAAATTAATCATAAATAGATGTAATAATTTAGGAGACATGATTGTGTTTTTTTACTCTGTATATTTTTGTAGAAATGTTGGGGTTAATTGGGATAATGATCAAGAAGAATATGTTCTCATTTTTTAATTATTTTGTACAGTGACATATATCATTTTTACATAACTGTGCAACACATCCATGTGTATTCTTTTTTTCACAGGATGAGACAATAGTCATTGCCCTTCAACAAATGATAGTTATCATGTTTCAGCACTTTGTGTGAGGTTTTAGAAAGTTTATTACACATGACACTTGTTACCTACTAGACAAATGCTGGATATGAATATGTTATTATCAGTGTGTTGAATGTGAGAAAATCATTTACAGTATCAGGTAGTGTATCATGATACATATTAAATCATCAAATTGTGTTAGCTCCCATCCCTGGTTGTTATTGGTGGTGTTCTTGTGGAAACATCTTAAGGAAATGGATTATGCACGACTCTTTTATGCTTTCAGTGAACACCATAACACCCACAAGTTAATAATGGAAGTACAAAGCCAACCACAGAATCCAGGCTCTGAAACATGTGTTGTCTTGGACAGTGAGAGAGATTTGCTGGAAACAGATGATCTCAGGAAAAACACTGTTTCTGACGTGATAGAAACAGTTGATCTCAAGAAATCGGAGGGAATCAAGCCTGATCAGTGTGTTGTATGTGGGAAAGAGTTTAAGCACTCAAGTAAACTACAGGCACACATGAAGATTCACACTGGAAACAAGTCTTATCAGTGTGGTGAATGTGGGAAACAATTTAGACAATCATATAACCTGCAGAGACACATTAGGAGCCACAGTGGAATCAAACCTCATCAGTGTGTTGAATGTGGGAAAGAATTTGCAGAGTTAGGTAGCGTGCAGAGACACATGAGGATTCATAGTGGAATAAAGCCTTATAAGTGTGTTGAATGTGGGAAAGAATTTGCATATTCAGATAGCCTGCAGTCACACATGAGGATTCACAGTGGAGTCAAGCCTTATCAGTGTGTTGAGTGTGGGAAAACATTTACAGAGTCGGGTAACCTGCAGAGACACTTGAGGGTTCACAGTGGAATCAAGCCTTATCAATGTGCTGAATGTGGGAAAGAATTTAAAGAGTCAAGTAAACTGCAGACACACATGAGGATTCACAGTGGAATAAAGCCTTATCAGTGTGTTGAATGTGGGAAAGAATTTACAGACTCAGCTAACCTGCAGAGACACATGAGTGTTCACAGTGGAATAAAGCCTTTTCAGTGTGCTGAATGTGGGAAAGAATTTTCACGATCATGTCATCTGCAGACACACATGAGTATTCACAGTGGAAACAAGTCTTATCAGTGTGGTGAATGTGGGAAACGATTTACACAATCATATAACCTGCAGAGACACATCAGGAGTCACAGTGGCGTCAAGCCTTATCAGTGTGTTGAATGTGGGAAAGAATTTTCAGAGTCAGGTAGTCTGCAGAGACACATGAGGATTCACAGTGGAGTCAAGCCTTATCAATGTGTTGAATGTGGCAAAAAATTTGCATATTCAGATAGCCTGCAGTCACACATAAGGAGTCACAGTGGAATCAAGCGCTATCAGTGTGATGAATGCGGGAAGGAATTTACACACCCATATTCCCTGCAGACACACATGAGGATTCACAGTGGAATCAAGCCTTATGAGTGTGTCGAATGTGGTAAAGAATTTAGTGTATCTGGTAGCCTGAAGAGACACATGAAGATTCACAATGGTATCCAGCCTTATCAGTGTGGTGAGTGTGGGAAAACATTTACAGTATCATGTCATCTGCAGACACACATGAGGATTCACAGTGGCGTCAAGCCTTATCAATGTGTTGAATGTGGGAAACAATTTGCAAGATCAGGTGGCTTGCAGAGACACATGAGGGTTCACAATGGAATAAAGCCTTATAAGTGTGTTGTATGTGGGAAAGAATTTACTGAGTCAGGTACGCAGCAGTCACACATGAGGATTCATAGTGGAATCAAGCCTTATCAATGTGTTGAATGTGGGAAAAGATTTACACAATCAAGTAACATGCAGAAACACATGAGGACTCACAGTGGAATCAAGCCTTCCTAGTAGGCACAGCAATGTTGAATCAATGGTATACTTCATCGTTGAAATGATATTGATGTTTTGGTCCATAATCACTCATGAGAATTTAGGCTGCTTTGAATCGAAACCCAGCTGTTTTTGTTACATGGATGCATCTTGGGCTCACCACCATCAGCCAGAGACTAAACAGTCAAAGCAGTGAAACGTCTAACGTCTCCTTTGGGCAGCTTAGTGGCTTAAACGTTCGCTTGTCACGCCAAAGAAATGGGTTCGATTCCCTACATGGGTATATTGCCAAATATTGCTGTAATATTGCAAAAAAGAATAAAAGAATATGAAGGCTTAATCATGTTAATGTTGTATTCCACCAGGATAATGCACCTATAATCTATAAATCTGTTGTCGCCATGACGACAATGCATGACTGTGGCTTTGAACTCTTTGAACTTCTCCTTATTCCCCCAAAATCCTTCAAACACCAAACATCTATTACATCATTGCCATAATCCTGTATTTTGGATGTCATCACAATGTTCAAATCCAGATTTTCCACAGAAAGTTGTCATCACCGTCAGCTGACTCCGACGTGTTGTGTGGATAATAGTTTCCTCCACCATTGTCAGTGGTAGAAACTAACAGTAGAGGATGGGGCTCAGACGAGTCCAAATTTACTACATGGGTACCCATCCCCCTATTACCCGACCCTACCCGGGTACCCACTGTAGGTCTCAAGAGATAGGTACAAAATGTCCGATTGGGTATTTTTTTTACCATAGCCCTGGCAAAACATATTTAGATACATGTCTCAAACAATCTGGTCATGCATACATTGAAGTTATATCTTTTTTCAACCATTTGAAAAGTCAGAGGGAATGGGTGCATAGTCCGAAAGAAATGCGAACATTCATGACTTGTAGTGTACATGGTGTAACCATTAGAATTCTAGAGAATTTTTGTCATTAAACAATATATCATGTGACTAACCCGGGTCTTACTCAGTACCCACCCGACCCGGGTTCCGAATTACCCGACCCACCCCTAGTAAGGGAACTATATTGGAAATAACTTTTGTCTGTGATGTGTCAATTTTGTAAATGGCCTCCATATACCTATGATAATTATTTGGGAAAGCTTTACTGAGGCCTTGAATGTTGTAACCTTGATCAGTATGGGATAGTGGTGTATAAGGTTAAAAAATCAAATGTTTTAACAAAACTGAACTTGGTTCTTTTCTGTAAAAAGATCAAGCAAATCCTTTGAATTTTTGAGAATCCACATATGATTTATTCCACATGTCTCAAATACATTCTGTGAATATAAGTAAAGCCCTTCCTTGATTGTGCTAAGGATTATGGTTACTCTTGAGACAGAGATTTGGTGGTACATTTGCTTGACCCTCCAATATATACCCAACAACAAAAGTTCCTGTGACACCAATGTTTTAGTGTATTTTTCAAACAAATAAAGTTTGGTTTTCAGTATTGTAGTACATGTATGGAATCAAGTCACAAAAAAGCAACTGCTACAGAAAAGCATGCATTACATGCAAAAGTTGACTTTTATTCAAGCCCCATGCATTTCACTACCAAAGAATGAATATAAAAACGTCCGTTAACGGGATTCCATATGCATTGTTTAGCATCGTGCTGACAACAGCCACTCAGAAAAACAAAATTACGCATTATTCAGCATTACGAAATGCCACGCCTGTCCGAAAATGAGCGTCTGTGAGCCATTGGTTTGCTTGAAGCAGGATCGAGTCAACGTGATGTTGCAAGAAAATTCAACGTCCACAGAAACACCATTTGGTGTTTATGGCAACGTTGGCAAAAGACGAATGCAGTCAGAGACCTGGCCTTCGACGAATATCTTCACAAATCGTACGTCGTCGCCTCAGATGTGCAGGGGATTGTCGCCAGAAGACCCGCCAGACGTCCCATTTTGACAGGAAACCACCGTCAAGGAGGTATACAGTGGTGCAGACAGCGTCTAACGCTTGACGGCCATGCAGTGGGGACAAGTTCTATTCACTGGCGAGTCTCGTTTTCCCCTCAGCCACAGCGATGTACGGATTCGAGTGTACCGACGTCGAGGTGAACGTTACGTCAAACATTGTGTCATGGATGAAGATCGGTTCGGGGGCGGCAGCGTTATGGTATGGGATGGGATTACAGCAAGACAGAGGACCTGTTTGATAGTGGTAGAGGGAAATCTCAATGGACAGCGCTACCGCGACGAGATCATCGGCCCTGGTGTTCTACCGTTTTTGCGTTTTTTTCGCTATTGATTTGTAAATTGACATTTTGGCATGTTCATGTTTTTTTTAATGAAATCACGCATTTTCTGAAGTCAATATGGCAAATTAAACCATTTGAACACTTACAGGAGTCTTTTATATGTTGCAAACCGAAATTGTTTCAGATTTGGTAAAAATCATAACTTTGCATTAAACCTACTTAATGTCTCAGGAACTTTTGTTGTTCAATATATAATCTATGACATATTCGATTGGTGAGCCACTTAATTTTTGTTTTACTGGTATTGATATCAATCACCATTTTTTGCAGTAAGGTGAAAAAATGTCAAACATATTTTTTTTAAAGTGTATCATCTGTATATAGTAATGCGAACAAAACAACGGAGAGATCTACCAGGCCAATAAATGACTGAGATTGAATAGAAACACTAGGGAAGTTTTGAGAATATAAAAGGGGCGGTCGGGTAGCCTACTGGTTAAAGCGTTCGCTCGCCACGCCGAAGACCCGGGTTCGATTCCCAAAATGGGTACAATGTGTGAAGCCCATTTCTGGTGTCCCCCGCCGTGATGTTGCTGGAATATTGCTAAAAGCGGCGTAAAATCAAACTCACTGACTCACTGAGAATATAAAAACGGATCCAGATCATTTAGAAACAATATTGGGGACAGATTTTCTCCTTGACGGACACCAATAACACAAGGAAATTGTTCTGAATATACACCGTTTGAACGCACACATGATTTAATGCCATCGTACATATTAACAATAATACGAATATTTTCCATTTATTCCTTGTCCTAGTTATGTTTTCCATAAACCTATACGCCAAACATTGTCAAAAGCTTTTTGGTAATCAACGAAACCACAATACACTTTTTTCTTTCTATTTTTTAGTAAATCAATAATTGCATACAGTGTAAAAAAGGATCATTTGTGGAGTAGCCATGTCTAAAACCTGCTTGTGATTCTGACAAAATGTTATTACTTTCAACAGAATCGTTTAATCTTTTATTAATAACTTGGGTAAACAATTTTCCGAGGCAAGTTATAAGACTTATTGGCCAAAAGTTTCCAGTGTCATCTGTACTCCCTTTACCTTTGTAGATCGGACGAATAATTCCGTTTAACCATTGTTTGGGAAACATCCCAGTGTCAGATATAAGATTAAATAGTCTGGTATACAAGGGTAAAAATGTTGGCAGAGAAGCTTTAATATATTCATTGATAATGTTATCCTTGCCACATGCCTTGTTGTTCTTTAGTAGTTTGATTATATCAGTGATTAAAATATCATTACAGTTATTTACATCAAAATTAATATTGAAGTCGAATCATCAGGAATAGTCTACATTATCTGTGTTTAGGTTTTTGAAATAGTCAAAAAGTTTATCGATAGGTGGCAAATTTGCATCATTATCTTTCTAACGTAACATTTTCCAAAATAAGCGGGTGTCATTTATCCGTAAATAAGAAATATTGTTTTGCATTTTGAAGTGATGACTTAAAGAATTTGAGAAGGTTTTTTTTATAACGTTGACTACTGTTTGACAAATGCTGATTTTGCTGTAAGAAAATGTTGTTAATATTATGTACAATAAAGTTTACATCGTCATTACAAATATCACTTTGCACCAAGGAATCAACGTGAGACATCATCCAAGAAATGTCACTGTTTTTAATTGATTGAACAAAATTGTCAGCGTGCCTCTTATCCCAGCGTCTGCACGTGGAGTCAGTGTTGTCATTTTCAGAGTCTGATTGACAGATGTCTCTTGTTGATTGGGGTTGACCCGTGATATTGTTAACATATGTTGATTCACATTTTAAAAGCAATGGGCATCAGATAAAATAGGATCAAAACTTTAAACTTTATAATCCATGACACTGCACCTTTTACAGTTGACCAACTCTGCCATTTACAATAAACAGTGGGTTATTTTTACAAATGTGTATGAGTTTATGTCCATGATTATTCACTCTCCCAGAATCACTAGAACATCTTGTATCTGCCTAGGTCAGATAAGCAATCAATGTCATCGATTATATCATTTGGTATACCCAGGTGTTTTGACATAACACTTTCAATATAAACAATATCACTCAGATCTTTGGTATTGGCATTAGAATCTCCAACCAATATTACATCAAAGTTATCTCTATGTTTTAAAATATCCTCTTCCGAACAAGCAAACATTCTGTAATCATAATGAGATCCTTGTCGGGAAATGTACACACATCCTAACAATATATCTTGTCACTTTGCAATTGTGTTACAGTGTGTCTGTAGAAATTCGGTAGACTTTCATTGCATTGTATTTGGGCAGCCATTAGTCATCAGGAATTTAGTACTAGTTAATGTAAGCTGTCGTCAGTAAGTTACTATCTTCTGATGCTAGAGTGGTGTGGTTACTTCCGGAAATGGCGAGACTCGCCCAACATTGTATGGAGCCTGTCTAGAACTAGACGATTCTTGAAGGTGGTTGGACGGTATATAAGGGGACAGTAGCATGTTTACGCATCTCTCACATATTCGGTCTCTCGCTCACATATTTTCATGTGAGGATCGCTCATCATCCCCGATTCCCTGCCTAGCCCATCTCGGAAGCTTGACCACACTCGCAGCTGGGTGAATATACATTATTATCACTGACTTTTGTTACCACCACTGTATTTTTGTATTTGATACTGACCACTACTGTCATATTATTTATTGCCGTTGAATATTGTACTACCATTCTATTGTTTACTTCCATTATAATTGCTGTGCGGTAATTTGTGCTGATTTGTAAACTTAGTGAATTTTGTAATACATATGTTAATTCTGTACAACTTGTTGGTTGTTTGTTGGTTTCACACACAGCTCTTTTACGAACAGATTTCTGGATTAACAAATTGTATCAATTTGGGAATCGACTCGTAACACCATCCTTTGTGATAAATGGGTGTATTCAAGCTTGCATGGGTAACATCTGATGTGGAGGTTCACCAGGTTCAAAGAAACTTAGTGGTGGATATCGTCAATACCCATGAGTTTGTGTACACTACAATGGAGGAATGTGCAGTACATACAAACCTGTAATAAAGTAACCTATTTGATTGTTAGCAACATTAAACAGTATTCTAGAGCTACAGATAAGCAGCATATTTGCGTAAAATCCCCCCCCCCCCCAAAAAAAAAAAAAAAATACAAAACAAAACACAAAACAAAAAAAAAAAAACAAAACCAAAAAACCAAACAAACCCAATTACTTTCAACTTCCTTGTGTACAGAAACACATGCATAAAAAAAATGAAAAACTCAAATGTATAAAAACAGCACGCGTAAATACCCAATGAAGCTTTTTCAGCATGCGTACAAAGGGGCTAATTTCCGAAACCCAATTACGAGCTAATTTACTAATTTACTTTCTGAGTCAAGCCTATATATTTAGAACAGTTATATACATCTAAAACATTGTTTCATTTTTTGTTGTTCTTAAAATGTTGACTAATTTTGGGAAAAACCCAACAGTGTTAAATTTACTGAATCGCAAAAGAAACGTCACCAGGGATAGATATATATAAGAAACCTTATTTGTCCAAACACTGTAAACATACTTTGAGACATTAAACAGATGAAACTTTGCAAAATGTGTCATCAAGGTTGAAATTAAAGTGTCAAATGTTCTTAAAGTGACACGCAACACTAGTCTCTGAGAAAATGGCATCACAAGTCAATATCTCGAGTGTCCGCCATGTGCATTAATGACTGCCGTGCAACATCGATACATGGAATGGATGAGGCAGTTGATGAAGGCCATAAGCACTTGAGCCCACACTCTGAGGAAGGCCTGACACAGTTCAGCTGCACTTGTCGGCCTTGGTCGGACGTCATTCAGTCTTTGAATCTCATCTCACAGGTGCTCAATGGGATTTAGATCTGGACTGAGGGCAGGCCACTGCATGGTTCAGATGCCATTCTGCTGGAGGAAGTCTCTTGTTGCCCTCGCAGTGTGGGCACGGGTGTTATCATGCTTCAAACTCGGGGTTGCGGCGACTTTATCATGAGCATAAACCCATTCTGTCCTAGCCAACTTCATCCAAAGCTGCCCTACATGAAAAGTTTGAAAAAAACAAGGCCCCAAATAACATCACTATTGTTGGCTTTATATGTAAGCATCACTACATGAATTGTTTGATTAAAGAACTTGGTATAAATGACATATCAAATAATGCCACATATGAGGCCACCATGTTAACTGAGGAAGAAATCTGCCCAAACCATGTACTATCGACTTTTAGCTTGTCTGTAAACCCGAAGACATGTCTATTCATCTTTTGTACTGGATTCCAAAGCTCCAGATGGCTTTGTCTAGCAAATGTACCACCAAATCCCTGTCTCAAAGACTAACCACAATCCTTAATACAACCAAGAAGGACTTGCTTTATATTCACAGAAAGTTTTTGAGACAAGTGGAATTAATTCTATGTGGATCCATAAAAACTCACAGAATTTGCTTGATTTTTTGGCTTCAGGTATATCATTGATCTGATATCGTTCAATAACCATCAAATAGCCAATTCCCCTCCACTGAGAGAGAGAGAAAGATTGTTATTGGCGGTGATCTTGTGGAAACACCTTTAGGATATCCATTAATATGATAGAGGAAAGTAACAACTCTTTTATGTTTTCAGTGAACACTACAACTTCTACAAGATAATAATGGAAGTACAAAGCCAATCACATAATCCTGGATCTGTTCCTGGAACATCTTTTATCACCAACTGTGAGAGGGAATGTCTGGAACCGGGTGATCTTAAGAAACAATCTGAGACTGGCAACCTGGAAACAGGTGATCTCAAGAAACACAGTTTAATCCAGCCATATCAGTGTGTTGAATGTGGGAAAGGATTTACACGATCAGGTGGCTTGCAGACTCACATGAAGATTCACAGTGGAATCAAGCCTCATCAGTGTGTTGAATGTAGGAAAGAATTTACACAATCAATTGACCTGCAAAGACACATGACGATTCACACTGGAATCAAACCTTATCAGTGTGTTGAATGTGGGAAAGAATTTACACAATCACGTTACCTGCAGAGACACATCAGGAGACACAGTGGTATCAAGCCTTATCAGTGTGTTGAATGTGAGAAAGAAGTTAAACAATCATGTCACTTGCAATCACACATGAGGATCCAGAGTAGAATGAAGCCTTATCAGTGTGTTGTAGGTGAAAAAAGATTTACAGAGTCTGGTACACTGCAGACACACACGAGGACTCACAGTGGAATCCAGTCTTATCAGTGTGGTGAATGTGGGAAAGAATTTACAGTGTCTAGTACACTGAAGAGACACATGAGGATTCACAGTGGAATCCAGTCTTATCAGTGTGGTGAATGTGGGAAAAGATTTACGTACTCAGACAGCCTGCAGAAACACATGAGGGTTCACAGTGGAATCAAGCCTTATCAGTGTGTTGAATGTGGAAACGAATTTGCTGAGTCAGGTACCCTGCAGAAACACATGAGGATTCACAGTGGAATCAAGCCTTTTGAATGTGTCGAATGTGGAAAAGCATTTGCACAATCATGTAACCTGCAGACACACATGACGATTCACAATGGAATCAAGCCTTGTAAGTGTGTAGAATGTGGGAAAGAATTTACACAATCACGTTACCTGCAGAGACACATGATGAGGCACAGTGGAATCAAGGCTTATCAGTGTGTTGAATGTGGGAAAAGATTTACACAGTCAGGTGCCCTGCAGAGACACATGAGGATTCACAGTGGAATCAAGCCCTTTCAATGTGATGAATGTGGGAAAGGATTTACACAGTCAGGTACCCTGCAGAATCACATGAAGATTCACAGTGGAAAGAAGCCTCACCAGTGTGTTGAATGTGGGAAAGGATTTACACAGTCAGGTAGCCTGAAGTCACACATGAGGATTCACAGTGGAAACAATTGATTGAATTTAGTGGACTGAAATATCATGAGTGTATTTAGTGTCTATGTTTATAACTAATCAGCATAATAAATGATAAGTCAATCAAGGTATTATTGTTAATCCATTAATCCCTGTATTGGCTTTTGACAGCTAGAGATGTGTGTATTCCATCTGTTCTAAGTAACTAAATATACTGGGTAGTCAGATGAGACTCCCTGCATATGTTCATGTACAAATTATTATTATTTGAAAAAAATATCTTCAAGGATATGATTAGTGTGTGCTGGTCCTCATCAAGACATTTTTCAACAGCTTGTCACTGTTATTATTCAACATCGTTGATCGTCTTCAGAAGGGAAAAGGTTGTGAATGTATATCAATCTGTGTTAAATATAAGCACATAAGCATTACTCAAGCATCCCCTACTTTTTTGGATGTGTGCTTCAATAAGAAATAACTGGTGTGAGTCATTGTTGGAGACACGACAAAAGAGTTGTGAACTAACAAACAGAATGCATCGTCACTACCGTCACAAAAAATGAAGTTGACACTAGCAATTGCTTCTGTTTTGATGGTGTTATGCGAAGAAATTTGCAGAGTCAGGTACCCTGCAGAAACACATGAGGATTCACCATGTTCACAGTGGAATGAAGCCTTCTGAGTGTGTTGAATATGGGAAAGGATTTACACAGTCAGGTACCCTGCAGAATCACATGAGGATTCACAGTGGAAACAATTGATTGAATTTAGTGGACTCAAATATCATTAGTGTATTTAGTGTATATGTTATAACTAATCATACTAATAAAGGATAAGTCAATCAAGGTATTATTGTTAATCCTTTAATCCCTACATCTACATCTACGCTTCTGTTTTGATGGTGTTATGCGAAGAAATCGACACACTTTCATTACAACAATGCTGAGAAGTATTAGCACCATCACCACACCACATTATGCATTATTGTCCACCTCAGAATCCTCGCTGACTCTGCAGACAGTATGTGGAGTATCCACTCCTCTCACTGATGACATTCGCGAGGAGTCTCCTTGTGCTGCTGATTAGCACTCTGATTTTCAGCATATATATCCTCTGCCATTCTCAGTGCAGTGTCTCAGTTTTTGAACTGATGGGTCTCTTGAACTCACTTGGCAGCCAAGGTAATCACAAAGGTGTTCAATCGGGTTCAGATAAAAGTTTGTCATTAATTTAGTTTGTGTGTGTGTGTGTGTGTGTGTGAGAGAGAGAGAGAGAGAGAGAGAGAGAGAGAGAGAGAGAGAGAGAGAGAGAGAGAGAGAGAGAGAGAGAGAGAGAGAGAGAGATGGTTGTTATTGGCGGGGATCTTGTGGAAACACCTTAAGGATATCCATTAATATGATAGAGGAAAGTAACAAGTCTTTTATGTTTTCAGTGAACACTACAACTTCTACAAGTTGTTACAAGAGAGTTTTATGTGGCCTGCTGTAGTTTGGTTATTGCCCTGTCTATAATTGTACATTTATGGAAGTCCCACCCGGGATTCGAACCCACACTGTCAGAGTGAGGCACCTCATCATCAGCTGACTTTGTGATGTTTTTACCAGTAGCCATCTTGCTGTAAAATTAGACTAGAGGTGTTTGTGCGATGAGATCTCGGTTATTGTAGTACCTTTCATTTTAAGAACAGGATTTTGGCATGGGTTAATTTTTGTTGAAAATATTTTGGTTTCAGTTTTGTCTGGATAAAACGTTACTTGCTATTTGTATGCCCATTCGGATATCCTTCCTAGGTCAGCATTTAAATTACTTGCCGCTGTGTTAGGATCATCGACAATTATATGAAGTGACGTGTCGTCTGCAAAGAGACGTATATTATTATCTCTAATCATGTACCAGTAATCATGTCCCTAGAATGTGATTCTTTACCATTTAAAATCACTTTTTGTATTCTATTTGATTGATAACTGTTAAACCATTTCAACAATGTACCTCGAATTCCACATGAATATAATTTATAAAGTAGTCCTTTATGTCAATCACTATCGAAGGCCGTGCTTATTTAACAGAACACTGCCCTTACTTCTTTTCCATTGTCTAGAGTCTTTGAATTGCAAATAAAATTATGCAGATCTAACAACTGATAGTTCGTGGAATCGTCTGTTATAAAGCCTGACTGGCGATTGCTTAAAATACCGTTGTCTTTGACGAAGTTGAACACATGTTCAAATGCTTTTGCCAAACTTGTTAGTGCGATTGGTCCATATATACTTCAATCGTTTACATTTCTGTTTTTAGTGAATTGGCGATACATATGCTAATTTCCAGTTTGATGGAAAAACAGAATATTTAAGTGACATGTTAAAGATTAATGATAATGGGAGGGATATACTTTCAGCAGAAACTTTGATAAGTTTGTTATTTAGACCGTCAGGTCCGGATGCCTTGGTGGTATCAACTGAAAGTAAACAATCTTGAATTTCCCCTGGAGTGAGGACAATATATAAGGGTTACGCTATTTTTCAGGGCATTATCATGTGCAGAAGCCCGAGGTCTTCTATTAACTGCCCCGACGAAGGAGGGCAGTTGAAAAGACCGAGGGCTTCTGCAAATGATAATGCCCTGAAAAATAGCGTTACCGATATTATAGCTAAAATGGACGGAATTTGTTATCAAATAAAAAGAAGCAACAATATCGGTTTAGAAACATTTACTGCAATCAACACAAATGTCACTGACCCACTTTTACGAATATGGAAACGTCATAGAACAAACCAGATGACGTCACTATTGAACGTGACGTCACCTATCCCTACCCCATGACGTCACCAAACAACGGGCGTGATAATGGCCCGTCGTCAAGCAATATGAGGGTATTATCAAGTTACAGTGACCCGCTGATTTCTGATAATTCTATTCATTTTAGCTATAATATGGTCCAACGTATTAGAACACTCAATGCTCGCAGCTTCCTGTTTTTGGCGGGAATTTTGACTGTCATTGTTCAGAGAAATTGTCGTTTAAAATATTTGCTCATGAATTTTATTTTTATATATAATAGCTTCAAAGACAGTATTTGAATTTTTATCTTTTTTTTTAAAACGCTTCACCAAACTCTACTAAGTTTTATAACCTCGGGACAAATTCGTTGTTCATCTATGTTTTTACAGTAAGTTTATTTTGCAATTCTTGACTTCGTAATTGTGTAATTGTTTTCCAATCCAAGAGATAGTATCTCTCTTTCGTCGTGTTATGTTTACGATTGCGGTTTGCAAACTAAACGACGAATCTCATTGTTCATCCACGGATTGTCCTTCTTTCTTACGGTAATGATATTCTTAAAACGAGAGTTGGGGAATCAGCTCGCTTGGCAGAGGTACCACTATACACGACCAACCCACACAACAACGCAACACCTGAGTGAATGAAAGTCAGTTTATTAGGCAGCCACATAATCATATAAACAATCAGTCAACAATAGAATGTTTACAATCAGTTATAGAGGTACATATACGTAAAGAACATTAGATGAACATAGCATGGAATCATTACACAAGATATATACATAACAACATTAGTCACGATATGTATTAGGGGCGGTCGGGTAGCCTGGTGGTTAAAGCTTTCGCTTTAGAATCACATGATGACTCACAGTGGAATCCAGCCTTATCAGTGTGCTCAATGAAGATTTACACAGCCAGGTAGCCCCAAGAGACACATGAGGATTCACAGTGAAATCAACTGATTGGATTGAGCGGATTGAAATATCATTAGTGTAACCAGGGTATACATTATAACTGATCTATTACCTAGAGATGGGTTTAATTCATCTGTTCTATACAGCTACACATATCGGGGATAGACTTCCTGCATATGCATACTGCACATATGTATATGCAGGAAGTATATATTTCTACAAATTAGTACCCTTTAAAGACGAATCTTAGGGTATTATAGATGGATGTCATAGAGAGTATGCTGATCCAACACCGATGCAATTTAAACATTTTGTTGGTCTAACATTATTCAACTTCTTTGATGTCTACACATGGAAAAATTTGCAAAGGTACATCTGTCTATGTTAAATATATTACACACACACACGATCCCTCCCCCCCCCCCCCCCCCACACACACACAATGATTGCATTAGTGACCCAGGGTGAGGCGACTAACGGGATCGGGTGGTCAGGCTCGCTGACTTGGTTGATGCATGTCACCGTTTCCCAATTGCGTGGATCGATGCTCATGATGTCAATCACTGGAATGTCTGGTCCAGACTCGATTGTTTACAGACTGCCATCATATAGCTGTAATATTGCTGAGTGCGGCGTTAAACAGCAACCCCACCCCCACCCCCCACCCCCCCAAAAAAACAAAACAAAACAAAACCCCAACAAAAACCCCACTAACAACAACAACAAAAAACAAACAAAAACAACAAAAACAAACCCCAATTGAATTAGTGACTTTGAGTTCCCATTTAGGCGCACACACTTTGGCTTCTGTGTGCATGTGTTTATGTGCATTAGTCAGCTTATCATTTGTCGGTTGTATATGTGGCAAGTAATTCCGGTGGACAATGGTTGCATAACAAACTACATATCTACACACTATCATCACGCAAATAATGAAGATGAAACTAGGCATCTCATGCTGCTGATTTCAACATTGACATCCTTTGCCATTCCTCGTTCATAACCTGTGTCAGTACATTCTGACACTGAACTGGAGGGTTTCCATCTCTCACGTGGCGGCCAAGATAATCCCAATGTTCTATTGTATTCAGATGAGGATTTGTCACTATTTTTCGGAATTGAATCAGGCGGTGCTTAATGAATTCTAATGTGTGTGTATTTATGTAAAGTATGATATCGGGTCACTTGAGCCACAAACCTACACTTCGATTGCGATGATGTTGGTAGAAACCGTTTACAAAACTCGGACCGAACTTTCTGGTATTCCGGTAAATGCAATTTAGTTACCTGAAAAAAGGGCCATTTCTCGATTTGAGTTTATGGACTGGACTTTATTCCTTGGCGTTGACGTTTTAAATTTCATGTAACTAAATCTTCCTGAATAAAATATTGTTTACATCAGTGTGTTTGGCATGTGTTCGGTCCGACTTTGCCAGGGCGGCTATAACATCTAAAACCTCGCAGTGTGTTTACATCGATAGAACAGTATAATGTGCACCTAAATATCACCTTTTAGTGTAACAGATAGAACAGTATAATGTGCACCTAAATATCACCTTTTAGTGTAACAGATAGAACAGTATAATGTGCACCTAAATATCACCTTTTAGTGTAACAGATAGAACAGTATAATGTGCACCTTTATATCACCTTTTAGTGTAACAGATAGAACAGTATAATGGGCACCCAAATATCACCTTATAGTGTAACAGATAGAACAGTATAATGTGCACCTAAATATCACCTTTTAGTGTAACAGATAGAACAGTATAATGTGCACCTAAATATCACCTTTTAGTGTAACAGATAGAACAGTATAATGTGCACCCAAATATCACCTTATAGTGTAACAGATAGAACAGTATAATGTGCACCTAAATATCACCTTTTAGTGTAACAGATAGAACAGTATAATGTGCACCCAAATATCACCTTTTAGTGTAACAGATAGAACAGTATAATGTGCACCCAAATATCACCTTATAGTGTAACAGATAGAACAGTATAATGTGCACCTAAATATCACCTTATAATGTAACAGACAGAACAGTATAATGTGCCCCCAAATATCACCTTATAGTGTAACAGATAGAACAGTATAATGTGCACCCAAATATCACCTTATAGTGTAACAGATAGAACAGTATAATGTGCACCTAAATATCACCCTACAGTGTAACAGATAGAACAGTATAATGTGCACCTAAATATCACCTTTTTATTGTAACAGATAGAACAGTATAATGTGCTTCTAAACATCACCTTATAGTGTAACAGATCGTGGTATTTAAAGGAAACGAATTGGGCATCGTGTTTACATTAGATACCACGATCTGGGAAAATGTAAAGCTGTTTAAAGGTTGATGAAACACAAATATCGTATTCGACGTAATAAGCGCCCAGGGCGTTCTCAAAATTAGAAATAAGGTGCTCTTATTAGAATATTATTTTGGTGAAAAAAAGAGTTGAAAAGAGAATTTTGAGTTGAAAGATAAATTCCGTGGTTTACGCTGACAGCCTGAAATGTTTATATTCCACCGATGTATTTTTCCAGAATTTAATTGCCCATAACTAAGGGCGCATAAATAAGTCTTGTGTACATTGATCAATCGGAAGGGGTGCTAATTGGGATTGTTCATTAGCCAATATATTAGCAAATATCGTCGTTGGCGCTTATTAGAGCGGGGCGCTTATTACGTCGAATACGGTATAGGTTTTAGTCGGGCCAAGGCGGATCGAATGATAAGCGGGATGAAAAAAGAGACACGTCCAAACGTACTTCTCGTAAAATCTAAAGAGTTAAGTACAGAAACCTAAGTAAATAACGTACAGGTTGTGTCCGATGCATCCCTGCCATATTCATAAAAATAAAGTTTCAACACAGCAATGTATAGTGAGATATACTGACGGAAAAGTAACTGTACTTCTTATAAAGTCCAATGAAAATAAATATATTTTTTTACCTTTCAATATCGTCATAATGCAAACATTGCATTGTTATTCATATCAATATATCAAATATTATCTACAAAATAGATAAGGTTCACAAATATATCTATTCGTGAATCTTCGCATTTCCCCCATAAATGAGAGTGACTCACTTCCAGATTGACAGGCTGATCAATAACCGCAATACCCTAATACGTCTGCAGGCAATCTGAAATGCTGCTGGCGCAACTGAACGCCAGCCTTTGTTAATTTACGACCATAATGCGCAAAGTCACACTACATCTGATTAAACCTTGAAACGCTAGCAACTCTGATGTGATTATCTTCAAGCCATTCATTCTATTTTAAGGTAAGATATTTTCATGCGTTTCAATAAATGTTTTCATACATGTTGATATCTATCTAAGATATCTGGAACTTGAAGTTATGTTATTACACCCGGGGTTGACGCGTATGCAGTAGATCAAAGCCTTGAAAAGGACGCCAATGTAAAATCAGTGTGGGACAGTATCATCAGGCAAAGGGGCGGGTGACCCAGTCGTCTGAGGCGCCGCGATTCGCTGTGCAGAGTTGCGTCCCGTGGGCACGCCAGAAACCTATGATTGTAGGTTCGAATCCCGGTTAACCCGATTATATTTCTAGGTTTGTCAGCACCATACCTGTGCTCGTGGGTTTCACCAAAATGGTAAACGTCTGAGACCTGCATCACTTGGGGCTTTCCTCCCACATTAAGCTGACACGCCGTGATAAAACTGGAATAATGTTAACTAATAATGTTCACTCACTTACTCAATACTTTTACCACAGGAATAAGATGTTGAAGCGCCTGCTTTAATTGTACTACGAGAGCTTGGTGTCGTCAACGTGAAGGTTGTTTTACCCAATACCGGTCGTCCCAGTCTGTCCCAGTCTATCCCAGTCTGTCCCAGTCTGTCGTGGGAACGTACGTGTTCATACGCCAATATGGAAACCTTCGAGAGGGGCACGAGTCTACAGTCGGCTTGTTCCGGAATGTGACGAGTTGGTCACGAAAGCCTTCCAGGAAAGAACGGAACTAGACTGGTTCCCGGTCCCCCCTCTTGGTGTCGCTACTCTTCAACTGCCTCCCACTCTGCCCCGGACTGTCGCGAACCAGTCTGGAACGGGAACCACTCTTCTCAGCTGGGCACTGTCTCTCGCGATTCGGAAGCACTCGTGTTGCCTCGGGAAGTCCCGTGACTAATAGTGTCAATTGAGTGACGGGACAGAGGAATACGAACAAGACGAAACACGGAAGAAACCTCACCCGTATCCAACAAGAATCACGTACAGGTACAGAATTAAAAACCCTGCGTGCATGACTTGTGATAATATTCTAGTGCTCCCTGCAACCGTGTCTCAAACCATTATTCAACGTGCGCAATTGCTTGAATGTGTATTGATAGAAAACACACACGTGTGATCATTTTGGGATTCATAATTTATTATTATTTAATTTCGAGGGGGGTGGGGTTAAAAAGCCCACAGCTGATATAATTTTGTCTAAATAAAAAGCACAGTCTCCTTCTGCTTTTAAAACAAATCATCCTCAATATATTGTCTCGACCGCAATCTGGCCATCCTCATCGATCAATATACAGTCACAGACGTATCGTGTACGGGAGTCGGGTGCGCTCCGTAGTACTTAGTGAAACGCTGGATACCAATAAATCCAGTCAACCAGTCAAGTGCGACCCCAGCGAGTGTGATTTAAGCGTCCCGATCACGGATTGCGCAGTTTCGTCTGCTAAGCTGGGCACCGTCTCTCGCAATTCGGAAGCACTCGTGGAAGTCCAGTGACCACTAGTGCCAACTGAATGACGGGACAGAGAAAGAAGAACAAGGCGAAACACGGAAGAAACCTCACCCATATCCAACAAGAATTACAGGTACAGAATTACAACCATTCGTGTATGACTTGTGATAATATTCGAGTGCTCCCTGAAACCAAGTTTCATATCATTATTCAACGTGCGCATTTTCTTGAATGTGTATAGATAGAAAGGACGCACATGTGATCATTTTGGGGTTCATAATTAATTAGGGGCGGACCATTTGATTTCAAGGGGGATTTGGTTAAACAAAACCCACAGTTTATATACTTTTGTGTAATATAAAACTCAGTCTCCATCGGCTTGAAAAAAAATCATACTCAATAAATTGTCTCGACCGCCATCTGGGCATCCTCATCGATCAATACAGATTCACAGATTCCGTAGTACTCATCTAGCGCGACCCCAGCGAGTGTGACTAAGCGTCCTGATCACGGACTGCGCAGTTTCGTCATATGCACTAAAGCTATTTCTAAGGATGAATCACGCAAGCCACAGAATGTATGTATTAATTCTATCTAACCCAAATCTGATTAATTGAACGATCTTTGCTTAAAGGGGCACTGATCTACAGTAATTTCCCGGGGCTGGTTGTTGCCTTTGTTCTTTCCCGTGAGTGCCCGGGTGATGTAGCAGAAATCTAGACTAGTTAGCGACCTGTGTTGCGCCAGTCGTAAGAGCATTTGTCGCTTTTATTGAAGCGGCGTATGGTCACATTGATCAACAAACTGTAATACAGTTTAGTCTTGAAAATAATAAGGAAATGTGAGGTATCTTTGCATCGGTAATGGTGACGAAAGTCACTTGCTTAGTATTGTGCGATTTTCGTTTACCCTATTTTGACTTGCAACACAAAGTAAATATTTCACCTGAGCATTGCTTATTTTATCATGTGTATATTTCGTAGTCAAGATGTGTACAATTTTCACTTAGGCATTTTATTAAACGCCTAAATATTCAGTTATTTTACAAATTGACTGAAACATATATCCTTTAATGTTATTGTTAGAATTCCCAACATTTTTATGTTTTAATTTCATCACCCAGTGACTGAAAATGACAGGATTAAAAGAAAACGAAATTCAAAGTACATTTCTATGGTTTTGGCTTCTAATCCTAACATAATTAGTGCATTGGGATGTTTTAAGCCCTTTTGAACCTCTTAATAATTGTTGGTCAATCTGTTAAATAAATGGACAGATGTTTCAGTCAATTTGTAAATTACTGAAATATTTAGACATTAAATAAATTGCCTAAGTGAATCACATTTTACACATTGACTGTAACATATACCATGTATACGCGCATACAAACGAAAAAGGCTTGTGGAAACAATGTCCATCTCGCATCGAAGAACTTCCCAACGAAAACGTAGTGGAACAAGAATGATTCTATCAAATGCAACAGCAAATGAATGAAAACAAAATGCAAATATCATAATTACAACCTACCAAATTTATACGTATTATTTAGGCAGCTACCTTGTTCGAGGAATGTATCCCCGAATATCCACATTAAGGAACAATATCCCATAAGTTTGCAGCTGCACAAATAAACTTATTCGATGCCATGTGGCTCTGTAACAATCAAATATTTTTTACATATTTAATTTTGTCTGTTTCTTTAGGCTGAAGAAATTATAACATGCGCACTTTGTCGAAATCTTCATAGATCCCGGGTAACGAATCAGTATTCAAAAATGCGTAGACCGCCTCCGTGGTCTAGTGGTAGAGCGTCCGCCCGGAGAGCGGAAGGTCCGGGTATCGATCCCCGGCCGCGTCATACCAAAAGACGTTAAAAGATGGTTCTTGTTGTTACCCTGTCTGTCGCTCGGCATTAAGGGGCTAAAACAAGGACTGGTCGGATCGGAGTCAGTATATTGTGTCTGAATGGGGTATTCATGGCATCTCAGTGAGTTGGCACTATAAATCGGCATCAGTCCGGACTAGTACAAGCAGCCACACAAACACACACACGTACATGCACGTCGCTATATAAGTGCAATAATCGCGACGTTAAACCCCTTTTCACCTCACCTCAAAAGTGCGTAATGTAAAACAGCTGTCCTTACAGACGGTAGCCCAGTCTTTTGTCAAGCTCAGTCGCGTCAGCAAGCAGAAGCCAGAGATCAGTGCCCCTTTGTGTGGCTTTGGTCTGTGCTTCGGCGCTATGGTTACCAAATCTGACCTGTTCACTTCTATGATTTTCACGTATTTGCACGAAATTGCGACCTCGCAATTCAATGTCAAGTGTGAACCTAAGTCTTGTTATTTGCCAGTTTTTACGTGTAGACAGATTCAAACGTACACATGTATTTGAAACCAAATCATTTACAAACTTTACGAGTGCGATTTCTCCCTCCTGTCACCCGGACCTCAGTTTAAATCTCCAGCTATTCAAATTTGCTGTTATTTTAAAATTCAGCGCCGATTCTACATCACGTGACGCTAGCTTGTGATTTTCTGTTTGGGATGTACGGGGGTACGTGTGATGGGTAACGCGAGATGGGCTTTATTTTACATACCCTGTGCGTGAGAGCGACATTAATCCAGCCAATCACAGGAAGCCTAGAGCTCCTCAAAACTGAGGCGTTATCGGAAGGACGCAGCGCCAGCTTGGACCCTCGCAATTCACAACCCAACACAGGTATTCCAATATACTTGTAGCTTTACTTCTCAGTAATGGTCAAACAACATGTGAGGAGAAGACGACACAAGCCAAGGGAGGTAACTCTCCCACTACCTAGGCAGTCTGCCGCTAAACATAAACAACGGTCGCCAACCACACTGGCGCAACCTCCTTTTTTCTTTGTAACACATTACCTGATATGGGTTACTATTAAAGACTCATACTGTCATAAACAATACCCAAAATAACTGGTCACAATAAAACTTAAAACCTGATGTAGATATCCTTGACATCACGTGATATAAGCTGATACGACACCATAACTATAGTCTAAATGCGAAAAGGTATCCAGACACAGTTGATGGACATAGCAACATAAACATGTTAGAAATCGGTTACATAGTCATTGAGGTGTTGAGGTGGTCGCCGTGCACGGATTGACCTCCTTTGTGCACTGACTGGAGTTGAATACACGGCATCATCAGTGTCATCTGTATTCACAATGTCATTGTCACTAACATTTTCACGCAAGGAGTCCTGATTATCAAGAGGAGGATGTTCTGGTGGGTTGACTAAAATGTCTTGGTCATGGTATGGTTCATTTAGCACTGGGGGAACGATGGGAAGGGTAGGTGGTTCAGTCCTTTGGGGAACAGTATCTATCTCACCATCAGAAGACTCATCGCACACATATTGCCGAGGAAGTCCACTTGACCGTTCATGTTGACATGGAACTCTGAAGCACTCTGATTTTTTTACTCTATATGATGTGCTTCGAAGTTGGGAACCAACAAACTTCTGAATGTTGCACCATTCACCATCGTTAACAACCACAAGGTATCGATCTCGTGACCGTGATTTATTACGATCTGCATGTAGATATACCAGGTCACCAATGCTGATGTTAGGGGTGGGCAGGCTTGGGATATGGGCTTTAGACATCTCACTGTGTAGGTGATTGGTAGTTCGCCGGTGATGTTGGTCAAGGATCAATTTTCTGTCTCCAACGGGTATTTGGTGGTTGTTAAATTGATCTCTTTGTGTCCACATTTCCCTGGCGGATAACCCTCTGGATCTGATGCGAGAATTTAGTTGAGCAGTGGCTATAGCTAGGGTTATAGGTGTGACCGACCCCCCCAAAGGATCAATTTTTAACAATTCCAGCTCCAGCTCTTGAATAGCTCGCTCGGCTACGGGATTCTTGTTCTTGTTCTTTATTCGACCAATTTCAATGCAAAGACGTTGACTTCGGAGAAGGTCATCTTGAACTAAGGCCTTAAACCCTGGAGCTGGGTCAGTTCTGATGACCGCCGGGGGTCCATCTAATGGTCTCATCTCAACACTCAGGCGAATCAAAGCCTCACGTAGGGTTCCCATTTGTTCATTTTCAATGGCACATGTACAGGTGAAAGATGTGACACATTCTCTCAACACAAGTATGAGTTGTCGTTCTCTTTTTATTACATCTGCAGCAAACGCGGCTCCAATGATCTCTGGGGGATCAGTAGATGACTGAGCCACAACTGTGTGGGGAACCTGTTGAAGAGATGTACAGTGATAACATCCGCTTGAAACTTTAGTTATTGCTTGATCCATGTCCAAAGCATAGAAGTAGCGGTTCACAACGAGTTTCAACTGGTGGGCAGAAGGATGATTTAACTGGATGTGCATTGCAGTCAGTAATCCATCCAAGACTTGTCGTGGAATGACGATGCACTCTCTGATGGTAACAAGGGGCTCATTTCTTTGAATCACCAACACACCATCTTTGGCGATGGTCACAGACTGTAGATAACGTTTTATGTCTTTAACATCAGTTTGTTTCTTGGATGGGCGAGTGCCCTGTATGAGATGAGCATGTGTGCGTCTGAGATCAGAACACTCTGACTGGATGGCGAGCCATGCATTCCTGTTGGTGTATGGCAGTTTAGATTTCCCTGACATGATGTCCTGAACAGAAGTACCACGTACCGTACAGTCCTCAGTTTGACGAATGAATGAGCAAATCTGACACAGGGGCTCGTCACACTTGGATGCATTTCTACTGGCAAAATCAGATGGAATATTTGCAGAACCACTGAGATGGCGAACAGAGGCCTGGTATCTACTCACTGTCGACAAAAAGGTAGACACTCTGGGGCTTGCTGAAAACTCTCCACGACACAACTTTTCATATGCTTGAACACATGGTTTACTGTCAGTCAGGATACATGCTTGTAGGCTTGACTGTACAAGGTAAGGACTAAAGTGCTTGGTGGCAACAGCTATAGATAGTGCTTCTATTTCACACGGTAGCCATGTCATTTGACGCTGGCGCAGTTTGGCACTGAAGAAACCAGCGAGGAGAGTACTGTTGTTCCTTGTAATGTAGAGAGTAGCACCTATGCCATGGTTTTTCACTGCTCCATCTGTAACGATCCATAGCTGGTCATCCTTTCGAGGAAGAACAATGGTTTTATGTGAGGATAGTGCAGATTGAGCATTTCCAAAGGCACAGATAAGTACCTCTGACCAAACTATTCTCTCTGCTGAAGGACGTCCAGCTTGAAGAGTGTCCAATGGACCCAATAGTCCAGCACAACCTGGTATTACCCGGGCTAACACTTTGTAGGCTCCAATAAACGACCTCAAACCCTTGACCGTAGATGGACGGGTGCAACTAGAGAGGGTGGAAATTCTGTGAGGACTTGCTTGAATTGAGCCATTTTTCCAAATCCATCCTAAGATGGTCACACTAGAAGGGCCGACAGTAGTCTTGGCAGCTGAAAGCTTTAATCCATTGAATTGCAAGGCCTGTAGAACACGTCGCCAGTTGTTCAGAAGCTCGTCTACGGTATTACCTCCACAATATAAGTCATCTGCCAACTTGGCCACTGATCCTTCCTTGAGCAAGTGCCCAAGCACACGACACATCAATTCTTCTAACGCAGTTTCAGAGCCCGGCATGCCCATGGCTGATCGGGCATAAACACGGACTCCACGGAAGGGAGTGGCCACACCACAATATTTCATTGATCCACGTGACAGGGGTATTTGGTAAAAAGCATTTGTCAAATCTGTGGTTATGATGTACTTCCATGCAGCTATCTGGCGTAATGTAGAATCAACATCAGGCATGAGTGATGGTTGTGGTTTACTATACCGCCCCACATCTGTGAATGCTGTAACCAGACGAAATCCACCATTTGACTTCTTGACAAGGAAGGATGGATTTAAATATTCCACTGATATCCCCACATCTTCAGGCTTGACGAAGACACCAATGTCCTCAAGCTCATCGAATTTGTCTTGCAACTCTACAAGTTTGTCACGTGAGTATTGTGGGACTCGTCCCTTGCGTTGAGGGGGTTGGACAGGACCCATGTTGACAACTGCCTTGAACGGGCCAGATTTTCCATTATATCCATGGACATGTGGATTAAACACATCATCGTACTCCTTTATGAGGGCGTGGAAACTGTTGCGAGTGTCTGGTGTGAACTGGTTATCTGGGTCAATGCGTACCTGTTCTGAACAATTGACCTTGCATGTAGTAGTGGACTGTCTGAGAGGAATGCTTTCTGATTGACTATCGACCATCTCGGTCCCAGAGTTTGGGATGGTGAATACTTGTTGAACCTGGCAAAAGTGCTCATGCTTCTTGAGGACAAGAGGCTCTTTGGTGTCATTAGGAATTCTAATCTTCCCTGAAACGCTGGACACTATATCTGGTGTTGGCCATTCTTTGTGGTCTTTGAATAAATCACCTGTTAGACGTGGTTCCACTGCGAATGTGTCATCTGAGTGGATCAGGTCATCCGGGAGTGATAACTCTATGAAATCGCCAGGCCAGATTGTTGTAGGGGACTTAGGCGCTCGTAAGACATGTGCACGTCTTACTGTATGGTGTGACGAGTGGGTTTCTTGGTTGCCGTACTGGAAGGTGGTTCCATCTCCAAGTGTAATTTGGCGCTTAGCTGGGCGAACGGCAACATCATTTATTTCCATGAACGGTGTTCCTGCAAGCAACTCGACATCAAGGTTCTCCACAACAAGGCCCTCGAAAATAAAATCCTTATTGTCACGGCTGAGAGTTACTCGTGTTTCACCAACAATATGGAGTGGGGATGAACCATCAGCCTGATGGGCAGATTGTGAACTTTTGGTGACTTCAATGCCGAGTCTCCTGGCAGTAGTCTGACTGATCATATTACCTGTAGCTCCACTGTCGAGGGTAAGACATATGACATTATGACCATAAAATGCGTTCATATATGGAGACTGACGTACACTGACTCTATTGACTGAAGCATTGTTTACACTTGAGGCAGTAACGGGAGGTGTAGATACTGTGTCTGTATGAGGGGACTGTCCATCTTCATCCTCTGACTCATCCAGGATGCTAGCTATTTGACGTGCCTTAGCCATGTATTTTCTGTCTTGATCAGGTAAGTATGAACATTCACTGAGAAAGTGATTGTCATTAGGACGACCAGCTGTGTGACAGAGGGGACACATTTTTGAGGTTGACTGGTAACGACGTTTATTGGATGTCTGCTGTATGCGAGGTCTAAAATTAGATCTTTGACTGAAGTTGTTTGCTCTAGTGGTAGCAGTCCTCATGACCTTGGCATCCTCAGATGAATGTATTTCATCTAACAGGGAATTGAGTGCCTGTGATATCTCAGGTTTAATTGACGCTAGAGTACGGGATCTCAGTTCCGTTCCATATCGTTGCTTCACCAGCTTGGGCAAATCAGGATGGATAAGGCGCAACCAAGTCAGGATAATAATGTTCTCTAACGTAGGTGTTAATTCCTCATCCTCGCCAATCGCCTCTCCATGATGAGTGATTCCGCCATTTTGTCTGAGCAGATTATCTTCCATAAATGCAGACAGGCGCTGGTAAAGATCCTCTGGTCGCTCCTCAGGTTGGAGATGTATGTCACACAAATCAAGAAAATGTGCACCAGATGACTGGAAGCCGTAGTGTAGTCTGATAGTCTGCCAGATACTTGAAATCGATACTGAACTTTTCACAATGGTGTTCCTGGCAATTACAGGACAATAATTGGCGATTTGGCCCAACATTAACTCGAGTGATGTTACCTTTTGCGCTGCCGTCTTGCGTTGAGCTCCAGCAACGTCTTCCCCATCATTTTCAAATCCTCGTAACGGGGTTGCACGTGTACGTTTTCCCCACGTGGCGCCGTCAGCAAGAAATGTTGCAAAATTCGTGTCCAGTGATAACGTATATAGTAGGTTTTGTTTCCAATTCTCAAACGAATTAACAGTTTCATGTTTCGTGAGAGACCACTGTTTCGGTGCTCTGTGAGTGTTTGCCATGATGTTATGCTAGTAGGCCTACTTGAAATACCCGCGCTATCGTGGCGATGTCGACCAGGTAGATTGCACACTTATTCGTGTAGTAACTGCGAAAGTCAGGTTAAGTGCCGTGTTCAGAGATGCGGATGATCGTCTCCGCTGCCACCACGCCAGCTTGGACCCTCGCAATTCACAACCCAACACAGGTATTCCAATATACTTGTAGCTTTACTTCTCAGTAATGGTCAAACAACATGTGAGGAGAAGACGACACAAGCCAAGGGAGGTAACTCTCCCACTACCTAGGCAGTCTGCCGCTAAACATAAACAACGGTCGCCAACCACACTGGCGCAGTTTCAGCGTGCATGCACATACGGGATATCATAAGCAGACAATAAGTTGTCTTAAATATTTTACTTAAATAATATATTGTCTAGCCTAAGGTCTAAAAACATTTCGATTATTTTTTATTTCAGGTAAATTTAGTACTTGATTAGTACTGCAGTACTTAAGAATATATATATATATACATATATATATAAAATTAAAATCAGCAGACATGTCTTGCCTTAATTCGTTTCTTAAAGAAATATCACACATACTTGCAGAAATGAACGCGCGAGTTATTTCAACAATAAACATTGTAATATCTTTGGATATTTTCTATGATTAAACTAGCTATTGCAGTAATGACAACATTAAGCTGCCTTATTAATTACGTATTTCTTATTTAACCGATCACATTGCTGAAAAGTGATATTTTTTCACTACGAAATGACCAAAGTTAATACACCAAACCATGGTACCCTTAACAATTCGGAATTGTCTGCACTGCTGCCGCTCATTGGCTCCAGACACACGAATTATCAACATAATTACCAGTTAGTCTGTGAATGAGATGAAATATGAAAGTTCTGTGTCCACAGATTGGAGGATGGGGTCACATGTTCAGTATTCAATCAACCAGGAAGACTGAAATCAGCACAGGAAACTCCCTTTCATCCTTCAGAACGTCACAATTGCCAATCATTATTGTGAAGAAGGAGAAGAAGAGAAGAAACTTATTTTACTAATGTGTCACACTTTGCATTTACAGTGTATAAGATCATGATAGTAGCACAAGTAAGACTAGGAAAACTCCAGCCTGATAGAGTTAACGAGACAGAAATGTACATAAGATATGAAATATTATTGAAATAATGTGTATGCATGTATACTCCTAAAGCGATTGCACTAAAGTCATAATTGAGATACAACATTGAATAAATAATGGCATAATAAAAGGGTGAGTTGCACATAAAAAGAATGAGTTCTGCGTTTGTCCATGGGGTTAGAGAGCTGCGGTTAAGGATTAAAATAGGTTCCAGAGAGAGACACAGTGGTTCAAATTGAGAGATTTTACAGAAAAGATCTTACCTTAAGTCGGAGTAAAAAAGACAGACAATTAATTATGACATTCGTTTTCAACAGCTTTTACATTGAAGTGTTTACATATGCGATTCTGACATTATATAACATAATTTATAAATAGGTTCCATAGATAGACAGTGTGGTTCAAATAGAGAGATTTTACAGAAAAGATCTTACCTTAAGTCGGAGTTAAAAATGACGCTGGAATATTGCTAAATGCGGCATAAAACCATACTCATTCACGCATTTATTATCAAATCAAGTACAGCCTTAGTTGTTATTGGTGTTGTTCTTGTGGAAACATCTCGGGAAACGCATTAACATGAAGAAAAGTAACATCTCTTTTACGTTTTCAGTGAACACCATGACAATGACAAGTACAAAGCCAGCCACAGAATCATGTCTCTGTTACTAAAACTTATGTAATGAGAAAAACATATGTGTGAGAAAAATTGCTGGTAACACGTGATCTCAAGAAACAATCAGTTGCTGACACAATAGAAACACGTGATCTCAAGAAACAATCTGCACTGACACACTGGAAACAGGTGATCTCAAGAAACAATCTGCACTGACACACTGGAAACAGGTGATCTCAAGAAACAATCTGCAGTGACACGCTGGAAACAGGTGATCTCAAGAAACAATCTGCAGTGACACGCTGGAAACAGGTGATATCCAGAAACAATCTGCAGTGACACGCTGGAAACAGGTGATCTCAAGAAACAATCTGTTGCTGACACAATAGAAACAGGTGATCTCAAGAAACAATCTGCACTGACACACTGGAAACAGGTGATCTCAAGAAACAATCTGCAGTGACACGCTGAAAACAGGTGATCTCAAGAAACAATCTGCAGTGACACACTGGAAACAGGTGATCTCAAGAAACAATCTGTTGCTGTCAAGCTGGAAACAGGTGATCTCAAGAAACAATCTGTTGCTGTCAAGCTGGAAACAGGTGATCTCAAGAAACACTCTGTTGCCGACACACTGGGAACACGTGATCTCAAGAAAGCAGTGAGGAGAGTGTGGGAAAACATTTACAAAATCAGATGTCCTTTGAGGTTTTACAAGGGATTTACTAGAGGACTGAAGGTGAAAAGGATTTAGTCGAGTAGCCTGCAGACACATGAGCGGATGAATAATCATATCAAGTCTTATCAATGTGATGTGTGTACGAAGACATTTTCAGAATCAGGAAGCCTGAAGACACACATGAGGACTCACACTGGAATCAAGCCATTTCAGTGTGTGGTGTGTACGAACACATATTCAACATCAGGAAGCCTGAAGGCACACATGAGGACTCACAGTGGAATCAAGCCATATCAGTGTGTTGAATGTGGGAAAAGATTTACAGAATCAAGTAACATGCAGAGACACATGATGATACACAGTGGAATCAAGCCATATCAATGTGTTGAATGTGGGAAAAGATTTACAGAATCAAGTAACATGCAGAGACACATGATGAGACACAGTGGAATCAAGCCATTTCAGTGTGTTGTGTGTACGAACACATATTCAACATCAGGAAACCTGAAGACACACATGAGGACTCACAGTGGAATCAAGCCATATCAGTGTGTTGAATGTGGGAAAAGATTTACAGACGCAAGTAACATGCAGAAACACATGATCAGACACAGTGGACTCAAGCCTTTTAAGTGTGTTGAATGTGGGAAAATGTGTCGACGATCAGCTGACCTGCAAAAACACATGAGGATTCACACTGGAATCAAGCCTTATCAGTGTGCTGTATGTGGGAAAATGTTTCGACAATCGGGTGACCTGCAAAAACACATGAGGATTCACACTGGAATCAAGCCGTATCAGTGTGTTGAATGTGGGAAAAGATTTACTGAATCAGGTCACCATCAGAGACACATGATGATTCACAGTGGAATCAAGCCTTATGAGTGTGTTGTATGTGGGAAAATGTGTCGACAATCAGGTAACCTGCAGAAACATATGAGGGTTCACACTGGAATCAAGCCTTATCAGTGTGTTGATTGTGGGAAAAGATATACACAATCAGGTGACCTGCAGAAACACATGAGGATTCACAGTGGACTCAAGTCTTCCCAGCATGCACAATGATGTTGACTCAATCAACCACTAGGCTACCCCACCACCCCCATTTTGTTAAAACCTTCATTATTTTGAAGCGTATATCCATGATAAAACCATATTTTTTAATTGATTGCTTCAATAGTCAAATGGTTTGGTACTATTTTGTGATATGAAAACAATTAATAAAAAGACAAGAGCTATGAAAAGGAACACAAGTATGGTAATATGTTACGTAGAGAAGCAAATGTCTTTGACGTTGATGAAACAGATTTCTTTGTAAGGAGGAAGTGAGTGAGTATGGTTTTACGCCGCTTTTAGCAGTATTTAGGCAATATCACGGCGGGGGACACCAGAAATAGGCTTCACACATTGTACCCATGTTGGGAATCGAACCCGGGTCTTCGGCTTGACGAGCGAACGCTTATACCACTAGGTTACCCGACCGCCCCCTTGGTAGGGAACATTTGGTGGTAATATGTTATCTTCTGACAACTCTTCTTTATCCCACCGATAAACTGATAGAATATTGCATCAAAAGTATTTTTCTTAACAAGGACCCATTTAAGTCGACATTTCATAAACATGGGAGTCAAAACAAAGTTTGTTGTTGTTCCTGAAATTGACATTCTCGCTGATCCTCGCCAGGTTTGCATTCATTAAGCAACTGCTGTTTTGCAGGATCTTCTCCAACAGTAAGCTGTTATTTGAGTGAGTGAGTGAGTTGGGTTTAACGCCGCTTTTAACAGTATTCCAGTTATATCACGGCGTGTCAGCTTAATGTGGGAGGAAAGCCCGAAGTGATGCAGGTCTCAGACGTTTACTACTTCGGTGAAATTCACGAGCACGGGTATGGTGCTAACAAACCTAGAAACAAAATCGGAGAGAACCGGGATTCGAACCCACAATCATAGGTTTCTGGCGTGCCCAAGGGACGAAACTCTGCACAGCGAATCGCGGCGCCTTAGACGACTGGGCCACCCGGGTGTGACGTTAAACAACAAGCAAGCTTCAATATTCAAATCTCGTTCAAGGTTAAGGTGTTAAGAAATACAGGAGAATTCCAATCTTATACACTAACGTAAAAACCTGTAGACAAGTACAATACATGTGCTGGATATAACATAAATAGCTTTGGCATAGTTGGTATTTAACTGATTACATTGTTAGGGAGTATCAAACTAGTTCCTAACAGGTTTAACAAAGCAGAATACATGTACGTCTTTAGGGTAATTTATAAGCCATACAGAATTGGCATTATCTATACACAGAAGTAGTACAATGGGATACACAGGTACAGAATTGGCATTATCTATACACAGAAGTAGTACAATGGGATACACAGGTACAGAATTGGCATTATCTATACACAGAAGTAGTACAATGGGATACACAGGTACAGAATTGGCATTATCTATACACAGAAGTAGAACAATGGGATACACAGGTACAGAATTGGCATTATCTATACACAGAAGTAGAACAATGGGATACACAGGTATGACTGTTAGAGTTACCAAACAGACTGGCAGGTATTACCAAGGGTAATAACATATAGTTATTCAATGTCACAGGAACTTTTGTTGTTCAGTATAGTTAAGAATTAACAAAGTACAAGATAGTAACGTTTGAGTGAAAAATTAGTTAGTTTATTAGACAGCTAGAGAATGATTTGTGACTGTGTTTCGTCAGTATGTATACCTATTCTAGCTGCTACGGATAATTTCGTTTTCTGATTAAACCGTGAGGATAAACTTGTTATTGTTATCTAGACAGAATTACATAATATATTTAACTGAGACATTGATGATAAAGGTGTTTATGAGTGAAGTTAGTAAGAATAATAGTTTACCATTTGCTAGTATGGAACGAATGTATAGGTTTTACAGGTGATTTGATGACGGTGGATGATAAACAGCTGTAGATACAGATACAGATATTAACGTCTTACATCTGTTTGCCTAACTCTATCTGACCAGCACCATGAGAGATGCGGGTCCCGTCCGATATGCATTATCGGGCTGACCCCTGGGAGTTTAAAGATAATTGAACGTGGTCGTTAGTTGTAATATTCCCTTATTTCACAATTTCCAATTCTAAATATGTGGCCTGTAACGTGATAATTTTTTTGTCAAACTTTGTTCATTTTCCCCATGTTTATATCTCTAATCACCATTAGAATCACAGCATACTGTGTATTTCCTGATGTTGTAATGTTCGTATCCGATAATAGCCATGTATATCGTCTAGCCATTTCTACTGCTTTATGGGGCAGTAGGGTAGCCTCGTGGTTAAGGGTTCGCTTGTCACGCCGAAGCCCCGTGTTCGATACCCACATGGGTACACTGTGACGCCCAGTTCTGGTATACCCCGCCGTGAAATGCTGGAATATTGCTCAAAGCGTAAAACCACACTCAGTCCCCTGTCTCCCTGCTGCAACTTGAAGACAGACAGATTTATTTGTATGAAGACCAAGTGACCCGTTGTACGAATAACGTATGAAGAAGGGACATTTTCATGACCTTTTAATATTTTAGTTTTATTTGTTTGAGTATAAGATGATAAAAGTAAAATATGGTGAGGTGAGGTGAAATGGGGTTTAACGTCGCGTCCAAGATTATTGCACTTATATAGCGACGTGCATGTACGTGTGTGTGTTTGTGTGGCTGCTTGTACTAGTCCGGACTGATGCCGATTTATAGTGCTAGCTCACTGAGATACCATGCCGCAGTTTAACATGAATACCCCACTCAGACACAGTATACCGAGCCGACCAGTCCTTGTTTTAGTCCCTTAATGCCGAGCGCCAGACAGGGTAACAACAAGTACCATCTTTTAGTATGACGCGGCCGGGGATCGAACCCCGGACCTTCCGCTCTCCGGGCGGACGCTCTACCACTAGACCACGGAGGCGGTCAGTAAAATAAGGATTAAATAGTTATAAAGAAATAAAGGTGTGTGTGTGTGTGTGTGTGTGTGTGTGTGTGTGTGTGTGTGTGTGTCAGTTATACTGGCATTTGGTTATATTTGTTTAGGATTTCACACGAATTTCATTCACCTGAAAGGTCTTGGTTAGCAGAATGCTGGATTAAGAGTAGTGTCTCATTCTGGAACCAGGATGAAACTTGTTTATCACCGGACCCTGGTGTGTGTATATTTGCAATGGTTTGGTTTGTGTCAGGGTAAATCATGAGTAATAGTGAGTGCGTTGTCTGTGCTGTGTGATGGTAGTGTTTGTGAATTGCAGGCAATCCATTGTCTTAATTTAGTAAAGCCACAAGGAGTGTAATATGCTCAATTACACAAATAGGTCAGGTTCATTGGCATGTATATAATATATTTTATCTTTATGTACCCTTTTCATGTAACCTGTGAGGGTGACAAGATATTTTGTATGTTATATTACTTGTGGAGTGATGTCTGAGTTAGATATATGTGTAAATATTCATTTTAATTGTGATAATTTGGGCAATTAATTATCTCCCTTGGTGTGATAAGTACGTTCTAGATAGAACATGTCATATGTGTTCATTACCTCCATTGGTATAATGACTTATTTATTAATTCATATGACAATTGGCATGTATAGTTAATGTAAGATGATATAGTAGCAATACGTTTCTCTGATGTGAATCTACTTATTATATTTATGTAAAAATCTTTTCTAGATTGTTGTATGTGTTTCAGGGCCATGACTAATTGACTACATGAATCCATCAAGCATTTGAATAAACCCATCACAACCCCACAGCGAGTCATTTTTGTCTTTTTTGGCTACCTATAGCAGCTGTAACACGTTCACGTCATATATGTTTCGTGTAAGAGGTACCGTATCCCCGCGATATAGAAATGGAATCCGTCCATCATGTTTCGTTTCCACGGCAGAACTCGGAAACCATCAGAGAAAGTTTTACAAGTCTTCACTCCACTGTGATACCTCCTCATGTGACTCTTTGTTCCACATAACAAAGTACTCTCACATTCCCTACGCGTCTCATTCATTACACTTTGTGTGTTTGTTGTTTAACGCCGCACTCAGCAATAGTCCAGCTATATGACGACGGTCTGTAAATAAATCGAGTCTGGACCAGACAACCCAGTGACTGACATCATGAGCATCGATCCCCGCAATTGGGATCGATGACACGCTTCAAACCAAGTCAGCGAGCCTGACCACCCGATCCCGTTTCGACAAGCATAGTTGCCTTTTACGGAAAGCATGGGTTGCTGAAGACCTATTCTACCCCGGATCTTTGCTATTTAGGTTCCCCCTGCATTTTTAATATATTTTGTATAAAGTCTGGAAATGTGGATTCAATCTCTGAGCTGAATAGAAGTAGTGGGTTTCATTTCCGGAGCAGAACCCGAAAATTATTAGAGTGAGTAAGTGAGTGAGTATGGTTTTACGCCGCTTTTAGCAATATCACGGCGGGGGACACCAGAAATGGGCTTCACACATTGTACCCATGTCGGGAATCGAACCCGGGTCTTCAGTGTGACGAGCGAACGCTTTAACCACTAGGCTACCCGACCGCCCCGAGTGAGTGAGTGAGTTGTGTTTAACGCCGCTTTTAACAGTATTCCAGTTATATCGCGGCGTGACAGCTTAATGTGGGAGGAAAGCCCGTAGTGATGCAGGTCTAAGACGTTTACCACTTCGGTGAAACCCACGAACCCCTAGAAACATAATCGGGGCGAACCGGGATTCGAACCCACAATCATAGGTTTCTGGCGTGACCAAGGGACGCAACTCTGCACAGCGAATCGCGGCGCCTTAGACGACTGGGCCACCCATGCCCCCCCGACCGCCCCGAAAATTATTAGAGATAACTTTATGAAACTTGGTGCACACATTCACCATATAGTGTAGATGCTCCTTTTGCTGTTTATGTTCCCCCCATTTTTTTCTTTTATATGAATTTTATAAATTTGGATTTCATTTCCGGAGCAAAATTTGAAAATTATTAGAGATATCATCATGACACTGAGTACACACATTCACCATATAATGTGGATGAAGTCCTATAGGGTTACCCAATCATTTTGTACTGGGATATTTCATTCTTTATTTGTTTGATGATTTGTTTTATAGCATCAGAACGTGACCCTTCACCAACTGTGAGTGGTATAACGTCTACACTGCAGGTACTAATGTTATTCCTCTGTAGACGAGTGGGCCCCTGGGATCGCATTTATAATTCCCCTCGACCACATTCTTGGTATGCAGGATGTTGTGAAACAAACATTATAAAGTCCTTGTAGAATCTCTGGAATAATGTCTTTCTTTCACAAACGCACAGGGATCCCATCATCTTCCCTCTATTTAAGCATGTGTTCCGGGCTGTGATATTGGG